TCATACGAATTCCACTGTGTTCTAACTCTCCCTTTCTTGATCGTCCTCCATCTTCTGCTACCAGACATTACGTTTACACTCACGTCATATACTACTTATAAGTAGCTCGCACCACACCGGATCTCTAGTCCGGGATCCTGATTCTCTTCTGGATTCGAACCTCGTACTTTCTGGATGCTTGTAGAATACACTTCCTACTTCATATCATGTCTTCTTATTTTTACTCAATATGAGGGTTGGAATAATCGGATTTGAGTAGCATGTCGTGTAGCCGAATCCTCGATTCTCGCTCTCGTTTTCCGACTAGGTACACTCGTAATAGTTCAAGCATATCAAGTTGACTTGTTTACGTGTAGGCGTAACAAGAACATTCAGTTCTCGCTGTAAAGTTGATACTTTGGAACCATTTCGTCAAGGTCAAATGGTTGTTTACACTTACAACTTCAGTCATTTTTCGACAGAATTAAATGATTATGCGTTCTCAACGTTAATAATTTTTATCCAAAATGGTTGAGCTCCATTGCACTCGATTTCTTACTAGGACCTAGAAAGTTCGTTCCTTGAAACCATGAAAACACATAATTGTAGTCCAATTTCGACAGTGATTGATTCGCATGACTATGCCACTGATTTTTCATATCGATTACCTTCTTATTAACACAGATTATTCAAGATGCATTGAAATGTGGCACACCACAAATCAATTTACTCGGTCACACTGTAAATGTTGACCCTAATTCTGGAATATTCATCACCTTGAATCCTATCGCTAAAGGTTATGGTGGACGTCAAAAATTACCAGATAATTTAAAACAATTATTTCGACCAATTTCAATGACAGAACCAGATATTGATTTGATAGCTGAAATGATTTTATTTTCTGAAGGATTTTTCAATGCCCAATTATTAGGTCGCAAATTGGTTTCGATTTTCTCATTGGCTAAGTAAGCGTTTATTTTGAATGAGACATCTTTTAAAAATTATCTGTTATTTTATTTAATGAAGATTTTTAATTGCCCATTGTCGACATTTGAGAGTGTGATTGAGGAGATTTAATCAATATAGCGTTACGTCGCCAGTTTAAGTATATACGGTACATGGTCGGGGGTGAAATCCATGGCTAGATAAAATCCTATTCAAGATGCATCAATCGGATGTACCTACATTCATGTTTCTGAAATTTGAATTATATTTCAAATGATCGACCTGTTATTACACATTAAAATTATCAGTCAATCATTGTTAGATCACCATTAGAGACTTGGAACCACCGGACGGCCATTTCGTCCAACTATGGGACTCATCATCAGTGCACATCAACGACTCCTGCCACCCGCAGGACCTTCGGTCTGGAGCACAAACGCCTAATCTCTGGACCACTGAACTGGCCGGCATCCAATGGTGTTAATATCTAACTCTGACCAATCTAGAGATTTTGCGTGACCTGACTCATTTGTCTTTGGTAGTTACTGCCTACACTCGACTGGTTACGTCTTCTCACTAGAACTCGGAGAATTTCCTCACGAAGCTAATCACTAATGAGCACATTTTACGATATTTTAAATTAGAGTTATGGAGATTAGTGTTTTCACACATTGGAATCATCAATCGCTCATTGTTAGACCACCATTAGAAACTTGTTATTCACAAAACTACTAAGTCCATATGTCAAAATTTTTGTGGATGTTTAGCATTCGACATTAATATTAAAGATCCTAAAGTACATCTCAATGTTGGCATAAAAAAAGCCTAAGCCAAAAAGACCAGTGTCTAAATTAGAGATGTAGGTGGGGACTTATACTGCGATAGAACGATTAAAAAATATACCGTGTTTCAGTAATACAAAGGGTATTCAATCAGTGGAATGATTTCAGGGGTTTTAGTAATTTTCGTATACATAGTGAATAATGATATATGATCTCCATTAAGTCTAATCTGGTTGGTGCTCGTCCCTTCTGTCTTTAGGTGCGTTTGTTTTTGTGTGTGATTAGGTGATCTGTGAAGTCCAGATCTTCCAGCTGCATCCGACCTGTCCACTGTATTCTGTGCTTCCTCTGCGATATCGAGGTTTTCAAAATCCAGCCAACTATCAGAAGAGAGAGAAAGGGTTGAGAGTAAGCAATGTTTTTTGACAGGAGCCTTGACTTGGAATGAGTTTGTGAACTGATCTATGCATAATTTCGAAGTTTAATTCATCATTAGAATTCCTTATGATATTGGCTGTCTTCTCAGGTAAACTGTAGCGTCGAGATAGTTACCACAATGTTCTCCTGTCGACGTTGTCAAGTTGAACAGTCCTTCCGGTGTCTGATATTGTACATACATTGCGATTTACATATATCAATTGTTGCTCTGGTCGTCAGTCAGTCAGTCAGATGCAACGTAGAACTTTGTACGTAAGTACATCAGTTCATGTTGCCATACCACATCAGCACAGAGATATAATTGTCAATTCAAATCCAATAGTAGTAGAGGTAGTAAAGGTATTAGAAGTAGTCGAAGAGGTTAGGATTAGAAGATATTATTCAAGAAGTGTGATTCAGTGAGAAAAGTTTAGAAAGTCAAAACTAGAGGTGTTGAAGAATCCAGAAGATTAGGATTTGAGAGAACACTAAGAATAAATACACCGGCGCCATTGCGAACGATTTTGAGCCATGTCATTCAAGGTCTCTAACCATCGATTATTATCATCTCGCGGACCCCAACCAGGTAGTCAACAATTACCGACATGGCTAAGTCCACTCTGGTCGTCTGCCAAGTGACTTCAGAAAAACTGGGCTTCTATCATAAGATGTTTTAGTTCTTCTAAATGATGAGCCTTCAACTCCCAGGGCAAAATAAAATTTATTTCTTCTGATTAGCGTTTCTTAGCCAGTTTGTTTTTCACAGGATGAGGTCGATTACCCTATTCCTGGCAATAATCCTAAAAGGGCTACCCGTGGCGTTATCTAAGGAAAGCTATAGTTATCTATAAGGAGATGTTTTTAACATGTAACCATCAAAGACAAATTGCTGGAATGTTCTCAGGATGTCTGTATATTCATACAATCAATTTTCTCTCCGTTTACTTTCTTTTTTCACATAAAACCAGACAACTTCTCTCAGTACAACAACATTACGATTGGGGTTTGAGAGCATTGAAAACTATATTACGTTGTGCTGGGAAAGTGTTAAATGCTCATAAACAAAATTATTATACAAATAAATTGAACAATCATGATCGTAAACAATTTGAACAAAATTCATATGATTATGAAGCACGTATTGTAATACAAGTCACAAAAACCAATACATTAGCTAAATTAACCGATGATGATGCACAGCGTTTTGAAAATCTCATTCATGATGTATTTCCTGATTTCACTTTACATAATGTACCATTTGAAAATCAAGAATTAGCCAAATTGATTGATTCAATGCATTCCGTTATAAAAGAACATCATATGATATTGATCGATGTTCAGGTGAGGGGATAGTTTTTGGATTCCCGTAGTTTTGTATGATAAACTTTGTGATATTTACTGGGAGATTATTTATATTATAAATGCTTTTCTAAATTGTATTTTCTTACTTGAACTATAAAATGTCAAATACTGAAATCTGGAAGCCGTTAGACGGCCGTTACGTCCCCTGGTATAGGACTCTTCAGTGGCAGTGCGCATCCACGACTCCTGCACCCCGCAGGATTCGAATCATGCTTTCGAAAATGTGTAACTTAACAATCTTCACAATCCCTGTAATTCAAATTACCTGTGCTCACTAGTGACTAGCTTCGTGAGGAATCTTCTCCGAGTTCTAGGGTGAAGACGTGACCAGTGAAGTTCAAGCTGTTCGGGTGTAGGCAGTGTCTACCGAAAACTGTGTATGAGGTTGCGCAACTCCGTGAATTTGATCAAGTTAGACATTAACACCTGTTAGGATACCGGCTCAGTGGTCTAACGGTTTAGGGCGTTTCGCGCACAGTACCGAAGGTCCATGGGTTTCGAAGTCCTTGCGAGTTGCAGGAGTCATGCGTGCGCACTACTGAGGAGTCCCATACCAGGACGAAACGGCCGTCCAGTGCTTACAGGTTTCTAATGGTGGTCTAACATTGATCGATTCATGGTTTCAAAAATGTGTCACTTAACAATCTTCGTAATGCAAATAGTGAAATGAAGGTTTTCGAGTAGTATCCAGTGTGACGATATACGACACTACAGATGGACTTTGGAATGACTGACTGCCAGATGGACTTTAACTGGACAATAATTGAGAACCAAGAATCTTTGGTCAGCTATTACACTGTAGTTTATTACTGCTCAGTAAGGAGCCTGTTCACAATGTCGTCAGGAATTGAAATCATGAATTTCTAGTTTTGCAGCTAGCTTGTTACGTTTGAACCATTGAGTCGATATCCAGTAGCTCAATATTTCCAACATCAACTCTAACAGATTGACGGAAAATATAAGCTCTCTTAGCTGGTTCAAGTTTGTTAGCAAGAAACCCGTTACCAAGGTTTCAGGCATGTTGGTGCTGGGGGTTTTCAATCGTATTCGAACAGACATCGCCAAGCTTGGATTGGAAGTCAGGAAGTGCTGATTTCGGTCCCCAAATGAGGAGTGGTTGTGAATGCACACTGCTAAGGAGTCTCGCACTGAGATGACTCGACTGTCCAATGCAATATATCCTCGTTTTCAATAATTGTGTAGCTTAGACCGGCTTATGATTTCAATGAGATAAATACACTAATTGGTGTTAAGTATTTAAATGAATCAGTTAGTCGATCTTGTGTTGATATTTAAGATGTATGATGATTCCATTTATGTCTTTTTCCATATTACTGTAGTGAATGAGAACACAGGTGGGGCAACCGGATTGTATTTAACGAAAATTACAGAGTTACTCAGTAAAATAGGAAAACCATATCTCTTAAATCGTTAATTTGCAAAATATCAGTCCATCATATCGAACTGGACTGTTCCTGTTGCAAAACATCAATCCATTGTCACTATTCATGAGTTTCATCTAAATTGCATTGTGTTCTAGCTCTTCCTTCCTTGATCTTCCCCCATCTTCTGCTGCCAGACATTACGTTGACACTCACGTCATATACTACTTATAAGTAGCCCACACCACACTCGTCCCCACTTTTTAATAAGCTGTCGTCGTAGTCTTTCAAAACAGGGACCCTGGTCAGTTAATATCACCTTCCGTATTCCGTGACACTATAAAATATGCCGGATTACTACTTCTGTCATCGTTCGTGCCCGCTGGTCTGGAATGGATACGGCGTCTATCCATCATGTGGCGTTTACTAGTTCCCCCTGCTGGGACACGGCGGCAGGCACGCACTCGATAAATTGCGACGCCAACAACTGTGCCCCCGACTCCTCATCGATATTCGGCGGAGCACGGTGCAACAATCTGATGAGCTCCTCAGCGAGCACCAGCGGGTCACCATCAGCCGACAGCCTCACCAACCGGAACCTCTGCGGCGCCTCCTCCCTGTCCACCGGGCTGTCGAACTCCGTCATCAGCCGCCCGGTGACCGTCTCCCACGCCGTCTTCCCGGCGGCACCGTCCAGGCTGTCGTATACCGCCTTTGCCTCACCTCCCCGCAGCGTCCTAAGCACCACCAGCTCACACCACACTACTACAAAAAAACAACTTAATCTACCTTTTTAATATTGAACACTGAATCACCACAGATTTATCTTTTTCTTATTCATTTTAAATTAAATAAAGATTCAAAAAGCTATTGAATTATATGAACAATTATCACAACGTATGGGTGTTGTTCTAGTTGGACCATCTGGTTCTGGGAAATCAACCGTTTTAAATTTATTACGTTTAGCATTAAATAAAATGGGTATGCCAGTACGTTCACATATATTTAATCCTAAATCTATGTTACGTGTACAATTACTTGGTCGAATTGATGCAGACACTAGAGAGTGGACCGACGGTGTGTTGACACAAAGTGCAAGATGTATTGTTAAAGAAAGTATGGGTAAGTTTTAGAAATTGTATCATGCTAGTTATGAGTATGTAAAATGTACTACCTACGATCTTTATTATATAGCTAGTTAATCTAATCTATTCTAGCTTCCTATCTGTCACATCTTTGAATTAGATTGATGCTGTGACCTGACCTGTCTAATAAATATCATCTTCATCAGTGATGCGAATTCATCCCCCTAGTGTAAGTAACGAAAATCACATAACCTAATAAAAGAGCATTATTCTGTTGATTGGTGCATGTTATTCAGCAGCGACTATATTCTTTTTAGAGATCTTACATGAATCACAATAGTTAAAAATAATTGCTGTATTGTTATTCAACAAACGACTTATAGTACCTTATATCCTTAAACTATTCCACTGAGTAATAATCTAAGTTCCCTAAGAAGTGGAGTGTGTATCAGACCCTTGTCAACGATTTACATAACGTCATCGAAACTCACTGTAGCAAGCTCAATACACAGAAAAATTCAAGAAACTCATGTCCGTATTCCATGAAAATAACCAACCTAACAACTTTATTGAAAAGTTTTTAATGAATTGACTCATGATAGTAAAATCGACCGTAGACACGTAGAAATATCTCAGAAATCAGGATTTAATAGCTTTCTGGAATTAAATTTGCTTATGAACCATTGAAATCGTTGCACTCCATTTTAGGCCGATTAAAAAGTACAACAGAGAAAATTACTGACCAACTTACTAACACCTATTACCTTTGATGGAGCGTGGGCACGTCTACTAGCATTCTCCAACTTACTCTGTCTGTCCTGAGCCTTCCATTCCAATTCTACCCAACTGCTGTGCACTCAGCGTAGCGTGTTCTTTTGTCTGAATCTCTTCCTTTGGCTCTAAGGATTCAAAATTAGAGCTTGCTTCGTAACGCAGGTGGGTGTTTTCCTTAATGTGTGTCCAATCCATCTCTAGCGCTCTTTGCTAATTTCTTTCCTCTACTGCAGGTAGCTGATTTGTTCTCTCCCATAGTAGGTTGTTACTGACGGTGTCTGACTAACGGATCCGGAGTATTATGTGGGTGTGGTCGATAACTCCATGCCCAAACCTCCTCCTTTATCCGGGCCTGTGACCGTCAGTAACCAACACATGAATGGCTTCAAGCGGATTTAACAGAGAAAATAAATACATCTAATTTCATCTATTAAATAAATTGTAACAGATGCGATAAACGCTATGTACCTACTGCTACTGTAGTGAAGGAGAACACAGGTGAGGTCAACCGAATTGCATTTATCGTAAATTACAGAGTTACTCAGTAAAATAGGAAAACCATATCGTAAACGGTTAATTTGCAAATCTTCAATCCATCATCAATCCATTGTCTGACATTTCACTTATTCATGCGTTTCATACAAATTCCATTGTGTTCCCACACTTCCTTTCTTGATCTTCCTCCATCTTCTGCTGCCAGACATTACGTTTACACTCACGTCATATACTACTTATAAGTAGCGCGCATCACACTACTACTTAGGCCTGTGGCCTCCAATAAATCACAGGAGCCGACCAGGATAAACACTGTATGTGAGACAAGTGAATCCACCACCCTTCACTCAAAAACGTCAATTTTCTAGATTAAGGAATTATGAAGAATATCAGGGAATTTATGAAAGTATGCTATTTTCATCAAGTAACAATCAATAAACGCATCTCAAATTAACCTTGACTTATCAAATTAATCGAAAAATGTCAATCAAGAATATAATCAGAGATCAATGGAATAATCTATGGCTAACTTGAATATATTCTCCGATGCAACACAACATGCACTAACCAAATCACTCTTGATGGAGATGCCTTGGAGGACGTTAACACGTTTACATATCTTGGCAGCATCATCGACAATGAAGGTGGATCCGATGCAGATGTGAGGGCACGGACTGGCAAAGCAAAGGCTGCATTTCTACAGTTGAAAAATATCTACAACTCCAAACAACTTTCAATCAAAACCAAAATCAGGATTTTCAATACAAATGTGAAGACAGTTCTACTGTATGGAGTGGAAACATGGAGAACTACGAAAGGCATCATCCATAAGATACAAGTGTTTATTAACAGTTGTCTACGCAAAATACTTCGTATTCGTTGGCCAGACATGATCAGCAACAACGAACTGTGGGAGAGAACAAACCAGATTCGAGTGGAGGAGGAAATCAGGAAGAAGTGGTGGAAATGGATAAGACACACATTGCGAAAAGCACCTAACTGCGTCACTAGACAAGCCCTCACATGGAACCCTCAAGGAAAAAGGAAAAGAGGAAGGCCAAAAAACACATTACGCCGAGAAATAGAGTAAGATATGAGAGGAATGAACAAACATTGGACAGAACTGGAGAAGGAATCCCATGACAGAGTTGGTTGGAGAAAGCTGGTGGGCGGCCTATGCTCCATTGGGGGTAACAGGCGTAAGTAAGTAAGTAAGTAAATAACTTGAATACACAAATATATATGAACAAGGAAATCTACAATGTGAACCAATCACCAATCAAACTACCAGGACTTAACTTTAAGGCTCATGGAGTACCTGATCAACTCACTCCTACATGAGCTAACCCTTGATGATGTTGTCAGTATATACGTATGCATGTATATTTGGACGTTTGTGGTGGTGTTTCGTTCTCTGAGCTGGTTGTGGAGCTCCGTTTACATGAACATCAATTAGCAGTCAAACGCCACGACAACACTTCGCTTATATCAATACATACCGACAATTATGGACACACATTTGATTGGAACAATGTGGAAATACTGGGTAGGGGGAGGACAAAGAACACTAGAGAATTTTTAGAAGCTTGGCACTCAGGCCAATCAGCAATCAACAAACACATCGACATTGACCCAATTTATCAACCAATCAGGAAAATCATAGGTGAAACAGGATCAAGAAACAGATCAAAAGGGGGATGCAATCAAAACAAAGTTGCAAACAACGACAAGTCAAAGGTCAACAGCAACCAATCAAGATCGAGGTTAGCAGAACAAGCTACAGGTCAAACGTGGAGAAATTCGAATGCTTCACTTATGCTATCTGAAGTTTGTGCTGATGATGTTGTTCAGCAGAAGAACAATGAAAGCTCCACAACCAAAAAAACCAGCTCAAAGAACGAAACACCACCACAATCATCCACCTGAGCTACAAGTTTTCTCCACCATCTCAAAATGCTACTTGGACGTACATAGATGTGGCTGCATATTGGAATACTCTCGCAGTCGAGGTGACCACAGACCCCTCACTGGACAGCTTTAATAAGAGACATGATAAAGACGTACTCACATAACGGATTTATCATCTTCCTCATGAACCAGCTATGCCCGATGCATGTCTTGAGACCTCCTCAGATTACTAACCTAACCTATCTCACTGATTATCTCTGTTTCCTCTGCCTTGCTTATACTTTAGTCCTCTCGTACAATCTTCACTACCAGTTAATAAGCTCAAATTATCTATTTATTTACTTAAATTCTGAAATCTTCTTATTAGCATTAGAATTTTCTCCTTATTTTATTCTCCACATTACAACTAACTGACGCCTGACCTGACAACGTGATAGCTGTTGGTATCCAATAAATAAACCTTACTGCCCTGAAACAAATGTGCTGATTCAAATCACGGGACATACAAACTCACAAAAAAAACTGCCAACTGACTAGAATTGGTGCAGTCAAGTGGCTGGACCCCCATCCGTCGAACACTACAAAAAATACATGGAACCGTACTGAAAGAACAAGAATCGAGCTCAAAGAAATCGATTGGTTTATACTAGCTCGTGGAAAAAAAAATCTCTTACTTACATACTTACGCCTGTTAACCCCAATGGAGCATAGGCCGCCGACCAGTTTTCTCCAACCAGCTCTATCCTGGGCTTCCCTCTCCATTTCTGTCCAACTTTTGTTCATTCCTCTCATATCTTTCTCTATTTCTCGGCGTAATGTGTTCCTTGGCCTTCCTCTTTTCCTTTTACCTTGAATGTTACAAGTGAGGGCTTGTCTTGTGACGCAGTTAGTTGCTTTTCGTAGTGTGTGTCCTATCCACTTCCACCACTTCTTCCTGATTTCCTCCTCCACTGGAATCTGGTTTCTACTCTTCCACAGTAAGTTGTTGCTGATAGTGTCTGGCCAACGAATCCGAAGTATTTTGCGTGGACAACTGTTAATAAACACTTGTATCTTCTGGATGATGCCTTTCGTAGTTCTCCAAGTTTCCGCTCCATACAGTAGAACTGTCTTGACATTTGTATTGAAAATCCTGATTTTGGTTTTGGTGAAAGTTGTTTGGAGTTCTAGATATTTTTCAATTATAAAAATGCAACCCTTGCTTTTCCGATCCTCGACCTCACATCTGCATCGGATCCACCTTTCTCGTCGATGATGCTGCCCAGATATGTAAACGTGTTAACGTCTTCCAAGACATCTGCATCAAGAGTGATTTGGTTGACGCATGTTGTATTGTATCGTAGAATCTTACTTTTCCCTTTGTGTATGTTGAGACCTACTGCTGCTACACTGGTCGTCTTCTCTTGCATTTGTTGTTGCGTGTGAGATAGAAGAGCCAGGTTATCTGCGAAGTCCAGATCGTCCAGTTGCGTCCTAACTGTCCAGTTGATACCGTGCTTCCCTCCAGATGTTGACGTCTTCATAATCCAGTCGATGACCAGGAGAAAGAGAAAGGGTGAGAGTAAGCAACCTTGCCTGACACCGGTCTTCACCTCGAAAGTGTTTCTGTTAGCTGTCCTTCGAGTACGATTTTGCAGTTGAATCCATCATATGGGTTATTGAAATACAAGTATCGTTGTTTACATTGAAACAATCATGTAGCCATGGTTTCCATTATTAGTTATCATTTAAAATATCATTGAAATGTTACTTTTTGTTAGTTTTTTATTTCGTTCGTTCTAAAAACACATATATCTTATTTTCAATCCATAACCATAGATCAAAAATGTTGGATTATCGCTGACGGTGATATTGATCCAGAATGGATTGAATCATTGAATTCTGTGTTAGATGATAATCATTTATTAACCTTGCCAAATGGTGAACGTATACAATTTGATACAAATGTGAATTTTCTATTTGAAACACATGAGCTGATTCATGCTAGTCCAGCAACGATTTCACGAATGGGTGTTATTTATATGAGTGATAAAGCAGTTGATCCGCATGCCCTTGTTGAAGCATGGTTAATGCATCAACCGGATAGTGAACAAAATCAATTGAAACGCTTAATCGATTCAACATTTTATCAATGTTTAGAATGGGTCTATGAAAAAGTAAGAAAAAAACGATGAATTTGTTTTTTGTAAAGTTGTACATGATAATCTTTCTTTTATTTGACTATTCATAGTTGAAGTATTTTTTTGATCTGGCGTTTTAATACAAGTCAACATAATAATTTTACACATGTAAATCGATCATGAATCGATCAATGTTACATCACCATTAGAAAGCTGGAAGCAGTGGATAGCCGTTTCGTCCTGGTGTGGGACTCATCAACAGTGCGCATCCACTGGAAAATTCGTATTGTTTGTTAGGGATATATTTGATCATCTACTAAAAATTGTTAGAATACCTATGATTATCGTTGTGGACTAGATAACCGTCATGAGCAAATGTGTACTACCCTAAAAAGCTGTTCATCTGTAACTCTGCTAAGTTCTAATCAACGTCTGCGTTGTATGTTCCAGTTTAACTTCGCCTAATTCTGTCTGGACAGGTAGATAGTTTTACTTGGCTGCAGGTATAAACTGTGCAGCAAAGTCAAGTGCTCTAATCTGTTGTTGATAAACGAGTTACATCACTTATTTACTTCACATGTTAGTGAGAATCTCTTTATTCTCAAGTTATAATTTAGTATTTAAAATCATCAATCAATCATTGTTAGACCACTATTAAAAACCTGGAAGCACTGGACGGCCGTTTCGTCCTGGTATGGGACTCATCAGCAGTGCGCATCCACGAATCCTGCCACCCGCAGGATTCAAACCCAGGACCTTCGGTATTGTGCGCGAACGCCTAACCGTTGGACCACGGGGCTGGCACACAATGGTGTTAATGTTTAACTCTGATCAATCTAGAGATTTTGCGTGACTTGGCTCATTTGTCTTTGGTAGTTACTGCCTACACCCAACAGGGTTGAACTCCGATGGTGATGTCTTCTCACTAGAACTCGGAGGATTTCCTGACGAAGCTAGTCACTAGTGAGCACATTTTAGGATATTTTCAATTAGGGTTATGGAGATTAGTGTTTTTACACATTTGAAATAATCAATCAGTAACTACCGAAGACAGATGGGTGAGGTCGCGCAAAATCGATTGATCAATTAGTGGTCCGATGGTTAGGCGTTCGCGCACATTACCAAAGGTCCCGGGTTCGAATCCTGCTAGATGCAGGAGTCGTGGATACGCACTGATGACGAGTCCCATACCAGGACGAAACAGCCGTCCAGTGCTTCCAGGTTTCTAATGGTGGTCTAACAATGATTAATTGATGATTTCAGATGTGTAAAAACACTAATCTCCATAACTGTAATTGAAAATATTATGATTTAGTAATTAAAAATCATGAAATTATCTACATTTTATTTGATTTTATTCATTCAGAATACTTACTTATTAACTTACTTACGCCTGTTACCTCCAATCAAAGCATAAGTGGTGGACCAGTGTTCTCCAAACTGCTCTGTCCTGGGCCTGCAGCCCCTCTGGGGCTACTGCCGGTCCCAAGATCGGATAAAGGAGGAGGGTTGAACTTGACGTTGTCGACCCCATCCCATAACAAGAAACTAACTCGTTAAAAGAACGCTAACCAGAAAACATAATTCATTCAGAATGACTGATTATTATCTGTAGTTAAGAGTGATGTTCTTAGTTTTGTATTCTTGTCTCACTCACGAATAATCACAAATAATACATTTTCAGTAAATTTCTCGAATTCGTTCAAAACTCTAGCATCAAAGCTCTAACCGCTACTGTTTTTTGTGTTAAAAAAATGGAGGATATGATTAGGCAAGCACACAGTTCTAATCTGCCTTCAACTTTCAAGTTGACCATTTGTCTAATTTGACCAGAAGCTATTTGAATGAAGACATTACTTTCAAAAAAACGTGTTATTCATCTAATATAAGAGACCACAGAATACTACTACAATGCTCATTAAAATTTGTATACGTACAAATAATCATTTAGTGAGCATGAGTTGTAGTGAAGGAGAACACAGGTGGGGGCAACCGAATTATATTTAACGAAAATTACAGAGTTACTCAGTAAAATAAGAAAACCATATCGTAAACGTTAATTTGCAAATCTTCAATCCATCATCAATCCACTGTCTGACAGTTCACTGTTCATGCGTTTCATACAAATTCCATTGTATACCCACTCTTCCTTTCTTGATCTTCCCCCATCTTCTGCTGCCAGACATTACGTTTTCACTCACGTCATATACTACTTATAAGTAGCGCGCACCACAGAGTTTCCTCAATTTCAAAGATACATTTAGTTGATGAGTTACGACTAGCATATCCAGTGTTTCCTGACTGTCGCCTCCGACCAATTACAATCAAATAGTTAAGCTTAGTTTTGTTACTGTTTCATCACCAAAATCTCAGCACGGATACAGAAGGCTCGATTGGCTTTTGCAAACCTGCGTCACTTATGGCGTAGGCGAGATATCCGTTTGCTGAGTACTGTGCAGTGGTTCGCTCCGTCTTACTTTATCGCTGTGAAACATGGCTAGTGAGAGTAGAAGATATTCGTAGGTTACTGGTTTTCGATCATAGGTGTCTTCGAATCATTGCTCGTATATCTTGGGACATCCGAGTGAGCAACGCTGTTATTAGGAATCGGGTGCTAGGTGAGACACTTCATCAGTTGAGGTGGTTGGGACATGTGTTGCGTATGCCTAACCACCGACTGCCTCGTCGAGCTTTGTTTCATAGTGTAGGAATAGGTTGGAAGAAAGTTAGGGGTGGGCAAACCAAAACATGGCAGAAATCCATGAAATCATTAACGAGTGGACTGAGTCATGTCGGTAATTGTCGACTACCTAGTTGGGGTCCGTGAGATGATAATAATCAATGGTAAGAGACCTTGAATGACATGGCTCAGAATTGTTCTCAGTGGCACCGGTGCATTTATTCTCTGTGTTCTCTCAAATCCTAATCTTCTGGATTCTTCAACCCTTCTACTTTTGACTTTCTAAACTTTTCTCACTGAATCATATTTCTTGAATAATATCTTCTAATCCTAACCTCTCCGATTACTTCTAATACCTTTACTACCTCTTCTACTATTGCATTTGAATCGACAATTACATTTCTGTGCTGATGTGGTATGGCAACATGAACTGATGTACTTACGTACGAAGTTCTACGTTGCATCTGACTGACTGACTGTCTGTTTCATCACCAATATGATTGCTAGTATTTTAACTTACCTATACATAGAACGTAGAATGATGTTTGACATGTAAAATTTGTGACAGGAATGAATAGTCTACCTATATGTGGATATGAAGTTTTTACAAGCCTGGTCGTATACCAACTGTATGTTTTAAAGTTGATTTTCTTAAAGAAAAAAGTTTTATTTTTTATGTAAGAATCCTAATCTGATCTAAGCAAGACAACTATTGAAAATGACCGTACACTCACTGGACAGTCGATTCATCTCTATAAACGAGACGTCTCAACCACTCAACCAAGCATCAAAATTCATGACCACCAATGTCATAAGTGTATGCCCCTAACCTTTGAGTAACTGAGCTGCTATCTACTAAGCATACAAGTCGAAATTTAATCAATTCATTATTATACTGTATGGTGGGTGATCTTACTGAGTTTTGATTCTTGGTTGTGAAGTTGGGGGAAACACAGTACTGAGGAGTTAGTTCCACAATCAGAGATGAAACAACTGTCCAGTGAATTATTGCATTTAATTAATATTTGCCTAACTTGAGTCGGTTCATGATTTCAATGGACTTTAACAATCTCCACAACCTCCATGCTGACAAATTTTATTATGCATTACGGGGTTGTGAAGACTGTTAAGTTACAGGTTTTTCTGAAACCATGAACCGATCAATGTTAGACCACTATTAGAAACCTGGAAGCACTGGACGGCCGTTTCGTTCTGGTATGCGACTCCTCAGCAGTGCGCATCCATTCAAAAATGTGTAACTTAACAATATTCACAATCCCGTAATGCAAATTACCTGTGCTCACTAGTGACTAGCTTTATGAGGAATCTTCTCCGAATTCTAGTGGGAAGACGTGAGCAGTGAAGTTCAACCTGTTCGGGTGGAGACAGTGTCTACCAAAGACTGTGTATGAGGTTGCGCAACTTCGTGAATTTGATCAAGTTCGACATTAACGCTGTTATTACCGGCTCAGTGGTCTAACGGTTAGGGCGTTTGCGTACAATACCAAAGGTCCTGGTTTCGAATCCTGTAGGGGGCAGGAGTCGTGATGCGCACTGGTGGGGAGTCCCATACTAGGACGAGACGGCCGTCTTTCAGTGCTTCCAGATTTTTAACGGTGATCTAACAATGATCGATTCATGGTTTCAGAATATGTGTAAATTTTATTATCTTAATTTTAATTGCTACCCCTATTTTTTTCTTTCTACACAGAATGAATTTGTCGTTGATACCAGTTCTGCTGCGATCATATTTAATGGTCTTTCTCATTTAGTTGGAGCAATCACACCAGCATTATTTACTGTCGGTCTAATACGTGGATTAGGCGCAAATCTCACTGAATCTGCACGTAATGAATTAGCTATGAAAGTCTACGAAGCTACAGGTGAAAATCCACCTGATATAACTAGACCATTAAATGTACAAGTGAGTAGAGATTTTTTTTGTCATTCTCATCAATACTACTTGCATGTTTATATTTATTTAGTATTATAAGTAGTACAAGCCACAATATTGTTGTTGACCATTTCCCAGTTAATCATTTTGTTCAATGTTCTTTTAACGTTTATAGTTTATATTAAACTGAATAGTCTGTTGTGAGCGAATCCAGATACCATATTGACTATGCTCACCAATTGTAGTGAGCGAATCCAGATACCATATTGACTATGCTAACCAATTGTAGTGAGCGAATCCAGATACCATACTGACTATACTCACCACTAAATGTTCCCTAACATCCCGCCATCATCGAAATGAAAATATGTCCATGGTGTAAGATTTTATTGAAGGAGAACGTTGGCATTACATGGGGAGCAGCAAACAGAGAAAAATGGCAGCAACGCGAAGAGAACGTTGCGCGCAAGAAGTCGTAGAAGTGTCTTCGGTACAGATAAACAAAACGAGTAGAATAAGGTTTATTTTTCACAAATCGTATTTTCTTCGTAGAAGCGTTCCACTACAGCAGCCCCCGCCTAGAAAGGGTTCACACTTTCGATACATAGCGGCTGCGTTCGGGGGGGAGGGGCTGGTCGGCTAACATTTGGTTGTAGTGCGAAAGGGTTGACAAACAGGAAGCGGCGAATGAAGCTCGAGTTGTCACCGATAGTCTTCTACGTATCGAACTGTACCAGTAGTAACGTGCCAGGTATGCTGCTAGAGTTGATGTGCCAAGTTTTGTCTATCAGATTGGCATGCCAAACCAGCGTGGCTCATATACAGAGTCTGAGAATTGCGTCCGTAGGCGTTCGGACCAGATAAAGCTGCAGACGTAGGACGGAACCAGATTGAGCGAAGGAGCCAGAAACGACCAGTGCGAAACCATTCGCATAACAGATATATTAGTTACTGCCTACACCCGACAGGGTTGAACTCCATTGGTCACGTCTTCTCAACTAGAACTCCGAGAATTTCCTCATGAAGCTAGTCACTAGTGAGCACTGTTACGATATTTTGGGGTAGAGTTTTGGAGGTTTGCGTTTTTACACATTTGCAATGATCAATCAATCATTGTTAGACCACCATTAGAAACCTGGAAGCACTGTACGGCCGTTTGGTCCTGGTATGGGACTCATCAGTGGCAGTGCGCATCCACGACTCCTGCTCCTCGCAGGATTCGAACCCGGGACCTTTGGCATTGTAGGCGAAGGCCTGACCATCGGACCATTGGCCCGACAAAAATAATAAATAAAGATACAAAAAATTTTCAAACGTTGATTAAGTTACATCGGGCTATGGAAGTGACAGGGCTGTCACGAATTTCTATAGCTTCTACTCTATGTTGGTGACGGAATTGAACTCCGTTGGGAAATGAAGTTATATGATAGATCACTCGAAACGATCCAGATTTATGTACAATATGACCATTATCTAGCTTGGCACATATGGTTGATACTGAATGCAGAATGAACACTCTTTCAATCGTAGATAAATTACTAGGCTTTTCAGCCTGAACAAACAAGGGCAAACAAAAAATTCCAACCGACATTCAAATGAGTTTACGAAACATGAATTACCAAGCTTCAAAATTTGACTATTACAACGGTAAATTTATTCGCTTAAAAAATAAAAGAGGTTTGAACTAACTGAATCACCACTCTCTAATCTATTTACTCTTCAAACGTGGTTGTTATATGAATATGTAGAAAGAGTGTACACAGTTTGCATTATCTGAACTATATTACAACTGACTGGACATCAGTAATCCCATATAGGATCGAATTAATGATCATTTTAAGATTTGTAGATACCAGTTCCAAACACTTGTGGATTCGTGGGTGTGGTTTTTGGGGATGTTAGGTCCCCAGAACTCGCTTGACAAATGTCTTTATTTTGGATGTTATTCACGGGGCTGATCAGTTGACCTTGAGATCATATTTCCCACCGGGAAAAAAAGCCTTGGCTACGATTGGTTACTGTGTTATTTTAGTGTGCTATTTTGTGACTCTCCCAAGGACGTCTCTATGGTGTATAAATAAACGCGATTTGTGTGCTTGAATGCATTGTGTGCTGCCTGGCTGTTTGTAGAATACACTTTCTACGCTATATCAAGACTTCTCGTTAGTACATTTGGGTCAACGGATTAGAGTAGCCTACCTGGACGCTGGTTCATTGTCTTGTTCTCGTTATTTGACTAAGGTGAACCCATGATAGTTTTAAACATACCTAGTGACGAGTGTAACAGTGGACAGTTGGGTACCTGTTACGCCTGCACGTAAACACGTCAACTCTATATACTTGAACTATTACGAGTTTACCTTAGTCTTAAACGAGAGCGAGGATCCGATGACACTGTGGTGTGTGCTACTTATACGAACGATATAAGTAGCATAAGAATGGACGTGAAAGAAGAAGTGGCACGGTCAGAAGAGGAAAACGGAAAGCAAATGGAGCAAAAGCAAGAAATAAATAGAGTACCGACAAGAAGTAAAGGAAGCCACAGCAGGAATGGAAGAAGGATGGAGTGTTGGAAGTCACGACTCAGAGATGATGTGCAAATAGAGTGTTCAATGTAATGTTTTCGTTCTTAATTGACTAAGAGTGTTAATTTGCTAAATACAATCTATCGCGCCTGCCTCAGTCTTCTCAACACGACATTTTTAGTAAAAGAAGACAAGACTTTGTATGAAGTAGAACATGTATTCTACACGCATCCAGAAAGTAAGAGGTCCGAATCCAGAAAAAGAATCAGGATCCCGAACTAGGGACCCGGGACCGAGCCCTGGTCCTGGTCGTGGTCATAAAACGTTACACCTAATGCGTATTTATACATTTTGGTCGAATAGGAAACAGCATCGAAGTGTGTGACATTGACAGTTAAGACAACCAATAGGAAGCAACATTTGAAGTGACATTGATAGTCAGGACAACCAATAAGAAATAACATTGGAGCTGGTGACATTGATATCTAGGACGACCATAAAATTGACCAGTAGGAATGAACCAATAGGAACTGACTAATAGTTCTCTTTCAGAATATTGGATGAATATCCTAACAGTACCCTCAATGAACGAATAAATATTCATCTCTAATGTTACATATTTTCCATTGGTTATCTAACTGATCTCAACTTGACGTGAGAACTTACTCAAATTTTTGTGTTGATAGCATTCGAATTCTTTGTATCAATTCAAAATGTGTTTTTTTCGACTTTTCATTGTTCATTTGTTCAATTAGAATGCTAAACGTGCATCTGTTGCAGCTGCTCCTTTAGCGACATGGGTTCATGCCAATGTACAATATGCCAAAGTGTTAGAACGTATTGCTCCATTAGAAACGGAACATGCTAAATTAAAACAATCTATCGTTCAAGCAGAAAAATCATTGAACAATTTAACGAAAGGTTTAAGTAATGTCGATGCTAAAGTATCCAATCTACGTAGTGTTTTTGAAAAACGTACTTCGGAAGCGGCAAATTTAAAAATGGAACTTGATAAAACACGTGAAACTCTACAATCAGTGGAAACATTAATTGGTGAATTAGAAAGTGAATATACACGCTGGGAAAATCAGGTAACTATGATGTAATATGTGAAATGAATGTATTGTATTTTATTGAACATTTCATGGTTAGTTTTGATTAAGGAAATTATGTCAAATTCTTGATACAACCAGGATATTCATTGTCGTCTGTATTATGATTTTTACACATTTGAAATCATCAATCAATCATTGTTAGACCACCATTAGAAACCTGGAAGCACTGCATGGCCGTTTCGTCCTGGTTTGGGACTCATGAACAGTGCGCATCCACGACTCCTGCTCCTCGCAGGATTCGAACCCGGGACCTTCGGCATTGTAGGCGAACGCCTTACCATCGGACCACTGGGCCGGCATCTAACGGTGTTAATGTCTAACTCTGATTGATCTAGGGATTTTGCGCGACCTGCGAGGAGCAGGAGTCGTGGATGCACACTGCTGATGAGTCCCATACCAGGACGAAACGGCCGTCCAGTGCTTCCAGGTTTCTAATGGTGGTGGTCTAACAATGATTGATTGATGATTTCAAATGTGTAAAAACGCAAACCTCCAAAACTCTGCCCCAAAATATTGTATTATGATTAACAACAAATAAGTCAGGTGACAATCCAAAACTAGAATTTATAGCCAGAACGATGGCTGGGATCAGGGGTGAAATAAGCATTCTAGTTAAAATCCTTTTGCACTACATACAAAATCATTTGCTTAGACAAACCCTTAAATCTTAACCCCTAACCTCAATGGTCGAGAACTTTCAGTGTGTACTTTTTGATTCGTTTACAATTGGACAATGATTATGTGAATGAAGTTTATAGCCCAATCAACTTTATGTATTTTTATCAACTTAATTCTCATTGGTGAATAACGGAATAAAATAAGCCAATTACAAGTGTGATTGTAAATACATCTAATTCACATATCTATTATTCCAGACAGTTAATCGATGGAAGGAAGCGTGGAAGACAAACGTGCCTACTCAATTTATTTTAAACTAACTCATCACTTTTAAAGGTAAGAAAGATTCAAACAACCAAATCAAAACATGTGGGTAAAAGTAACCCATAATGAGGGCCTTAAATAAACCAATCAAAATTACGATATCGCCCGATGTACTTTTGCTTATGATTAATTCAGTCTTATTTGGCAATATTTCGTCAGTAAAACGCTCGGAATTGACATAATACAGTCAAAAACTGAATATGATGGGGCGCTTGACTGAGATCACAAGAAATACCTGTTCATGATGCAGATCGTGTTAAAGTACTTGGTGTGATTCAGTGAATATTCAGTAGTGTATATGCAGCTAAGTAGCATTTTATTTCTCACTCTTACTCCTGACTCTAAGCATCAACAAGAATGTGACAACGAACCATTGCATTATAGCTGATGTCAGTTCGAATATTCCGTCAGAGAATATGAAGTACTATGAATTAAGCAAAAGGTCATAAAACTATGATAATTACTAAGTAAAAGTGTAGATTCAATTGATAACAGATTGATTTCAACTGAGGTACGATTGAAGCCAGGGATCGTTGGGCACCTCCGAAGTGAACACTTCTTACCCCTTTAGATGTTGAGTCCAGGACATTCATGTCTAGTGGAGTCATTAGATCAGCATTCTGACGATTTAGCGTTCTTCATGAACCCCAAAGTTCCTGTCTTCGATCTCCAAGGGAATCGTTGGTGCGCACTAGTGAGGAGTTCCATATTAATACAAAACAGTTATTTCGTGATCTGTTTTCAATGGTCCCCTTATTGATGACATTCTTCTCTGGTAGCAACTTCTGAGCAGCGCTCTAATGCATACTACTCATATGTCATCTTTAGAGTGACCTCCTCCACAACATCTCTAGACCAACACGATAAGATACTATTCGCTCATATAATATATTGATTAAAAATAGAATACATCCTTTATGATATCATGTCATATGGCTTTGTCATTAATTTCATCAGTTAAACACTGTGTTATTACACTAATCCATTGTCTCTGACATCCATTGTGTTGATTGATATGAAAAAAATGGAATTCAATATTTTTTCTACATTAAAGTTGTGAATCAGTCATTGTTAGATCACTATTAAAAACCTAGAAGCACTGAATGACCGTTTCCTCCCATCAGCAGTGCGCATCCACTACCACCGCACACGGGAATCGAACACAGGACCTTCAGTCTCGCGCATCAACGATTAGCCTCTATACCACTGAGTCGACATTCAGTCAGTGTCAATGTCTATCTAACTTTGATCAATCTAAGCATTCTCGCGCGACCTCAACTACTGTCTTTGACAGTCATTGCCTTCACCTACACATCGTAGTGAGATGACTGAGGCAGGCTCGATAGATTGTATTTAGCAAATTTACACTCTTAGTCAATTAAAAACCAAAACATTACATTGAACACACTCTATTTGCACACCATCTTTGAGTCATGACTTCCAACACTCCAGCCTTCTTCCGTTCCTGTTGTTGCTTCCTTTCCTTCCTGTTGGTACTACTCCATTTACTTCTTGCTTTTGCTCCATTTGCTTCCCGTTTTCCTCTTGTGACCGTGAGACTTCTTCTTTCACGTCCCTTCTTATACTACTTATATCGTTCAAATAAGTAGCACACACCACAGTAGGAGTCCCATACTAATCGGACAAAACAGTCGTTCAGTGCTTCCAGGTCTCTGATGGTGATCTAATAATCATGATAATCGATTCACGATTTTAGCATGAAACAATAATCTCTATAATTCTTTATTTAAAAATTCAATAATTTTTGTTTGATACACCTTCTACAGATCAATGAAATCAGCATACAATTAACCAGTTTACCACCGTTCGCACTAACAGCATCTGCATTTATAACCTATTTATCAGCTTGTCCTGAAGATGTACGTCGACAGTATATTACAAATTGGATTAAAGATTTAACTAATCTTGGTATAATGCCAACATCATTATCTACTGAGTTAAACAATAATCATACATCTAGTCAAGATTTACTTCATTTTGATCTGCGTCGATTTTTATCTACTGAACCTGAACAATTATTATGGTCTAGTCAAGGTTTACCATCCGACCAGTTATCAGGAGAAAATGCTGTAACGATTGTACATGTAAGTCAAATCAGTTTATTTGATTGATCATAGACAGACTTCAACACCATCATGATCAAAGGGGGGAATACATTTGTCCTATCTATCTTTTGAATATAATTTTATCAACTAATCACATTGATACAAATTTTATTTAACACAGGCATATGTCAAACATGTTAGTATTGAACGACGAGTTTGGTGATACACCGCCGCAGTGAATAATAAGAGGAGTTAATTTACTTACATAGGTGTGTGTAGGAGATATAAGCAACTACGTTGATACTAACGTACTAACATACATACATTCTCAAGGTTACACGTGAGTAGTTGACAAGGTCAAATATATGTACTGGTTGGAATAACTGGAACGATTAGAATAATTTTTATGCCCTAAAGTCAGATATAAACACATGAATCACCGTTACTGCCTTTACGATTTGTTCTTGTCAATAATTGGGATAATCATTATTAGAAATTCTAGTATTCTTGGTTTACAATCTTTTGCATGAGGAGGTTGGGGAAATTGTTAAGTTACTCATTGAAATCATGAATCGATCAATGTTAGACCAGACCCCTGAGCCGGTATCTAACGTTGTTAATGTCTACCTTCAATCAATCCACTATCCAGAGGTTAGGCGTTCGAGCGCAACACCGAAGGTCCTGGGTGCAGCAGTCGTGTGTGCACACTGCTGACGAGTCTCATACCAGGAAGAAACGGCCTTCCAGTGCTTCCAGGTTTCTAATGGTCATAATGAATGATTTTTTAATTCAAACCATTGAGTTGATGTCCAGTAAAATTGTTAAATGTAGTCTATCGTCAAATCAGATTTTTTCTGTGATATTCAGGTTATTTTAATCTTTGATAGGTAGCTCAATAATTTTGGCGTGAGGTTTACTCAATAACTTCACTTATTTCGGAAGTCTCATCAGTCCTGATAGCCTGGTGTATGTTGAAATCTCGGCACGGATATAAAAGGTTCGGCTGGCTTTTGCCAAATTTGTATCACTTTTGGGTTAGGAGAGATATCCGTCTGCTAACCAAAAGACGAGCCTACTGCTCAGCAGTTGTCGCAATCCTACTTTACGCATGAGTAACATGACTACTTATAATAGAGGATATCCGTAAGGTCCTAGAAGCATTACTTGGATATCCTGCGGCCATCGAGTAAGCAATGCTGTCATTAAGAAACGAGTACTAGTTAAGGATGACAGATCAGCTGACGAAGTAATGAAACGTCATCATTTGAGGTGGTTGGGACATGTGTTACGAATGCCCAACCACCGACTGCCTCGATGAGCTATGTTTTGTGGTGTAGAGGTAGGGTGGAAGAAAGCTAGCGGCAGCCATACAAAAATATGGCACAAATCCTTGCAATCTCTGACTGCCGGACTGAGCTATTTTAGTAGATATAGTCTACCTGGTTGGGGGTCCTCAGACCGATTGTTAGAGGCTCAAAATCATTTGCAATGGTGCAACTGCATCCACTCATTCTGTTCTCCCAAATACTAATTTTCTGAATACCCCATCATCTTCATCTTTCTCTGTTCAAATTTTCTTTACAGGATCATACTTTTTGAATCACATCTTCGAACCCTAATCCTCTCCATTACCACTAATACTTCTACTACCTCAATTATTATGAGATTCGAATTGACAATTCGATCTCTCTTTGCTAATGTGGTATAGCAACTTGAACTGATTTATGTACGTTGTAGCTAACTGACTGACTGACTGACTGACTCAAAAGTTTTTATTCCACGAATGTAATTTTTAACAGATGTAGTTCAATCAAAAGAGGTTTCTTCTCACTAAAAGGGATTCATCTTGACGTTATAAATTACGTAATAGAAAAGCATAGTCGGCTTACCACTGAGTTCTGTTCGGAACCATGAATGATAACGTCTGAAATCATTGAGTTGACGGATCTTTTTTAAGGTAGCACTCAAAGTGTGGTACGCGCTACTTATAAGTAGTATGTGACGCGAGTGAAAACGTAATGTCTGGCAGCAGAAGATGGGGGAAGATCAAGAAAGAAAGAAGGGTTAGAAGAACACAATGGAATTTGTGTGAAACGCATGAATAGTGAAATGTCAGACAATGGATTGATGATGGATTGAAGATTTGCAAATTAACCGTTCACACGATATGGCTTTCCTATTTTACTGAGTAACTCTGTAATTTTCGTTAAATACAATTCGGTTGCTCTCACCTGTGTTCTCCTTCACTACAAAAGGACGAAATTAGACCCACAGATGCATTCATGTCACAGAGATATATACAACCACAAAGAATATTGTTGTACTATTTCCAATAACTTGTATATTTGGTTAACAATGCTGCGCATATTTGTATATATTTTTTCTTAGACTACAATGTGTCCATTCATTGTCGATCCATCATCAAGAGCATTACATTGGTTGAAAGTTTACTTGAAAGATCAACGTTTAGAAGTGGTAAATCAACAAGTAAGTTATTTTTAAATCTAATAATGTGCGATAGTAGAGAAAATTTCTAGCTCAGGTGGATGATTGTGATGGAGTTCCATTCCGATTGACTGTAACCCCTTTTGATCTGTTTCTTGAAATAAAGGTGCAGACAACAACATGTTTAAGATCAATAACAACCCATCAAGATCGAGGTCAACAACAACAACAACCGTGAAAAACACTACATAGGACAAACTGGACAACCTCTTCAGCTCCGTTTACGTGAACATCATTTAGCAGTCAAACGCCACGACATCGCTTCGCTTATATCAATACATACCGACAATTATGGACACACATTTGATTGGAACAATGTGGAAATACTGGGTAGGGGGAGTACAAAGAACACTAGAGAATTTTTAGAAGCTTGGCACTCAGGTCAATTAGCAGTCAACAAACACATCGACATTGACCCAATTTATCAACCAATCAGGAAAATCATAGGTGACACAGGATCAAGAAACAGATCAAAAGAGGGAGGCAATCAAAACAAAGTTGCAAACAACGACAGGTCAAAGGTCAACAGCAACCAATCAAGATCGAGGTTAGCAGAACAAGCTACAGGTCAAACGTGAAGAAATTCGAATGCTTCACTTCTGCTATCTGAAGTTTGTGCTGATGATGTTGTTCAGTAGAAGAACAATGAAAGCTCCACAACCAAAACAATCAGCTCAGAGAACGAAACACCAACACAATCATCCACGTGAGCTACAAGTTTTCTCCACCATCTCAAAGCTTCACTTCTACCCAAAGTTTGAGCCAATGATGTTGTTCAGGCAAAACGACGAAAGCTCCACAACCAAAACATCCAGCTCAGAGATTGAAACGCCATCACAATAGATCTAATCTTAAGTGACTGTAGTGTGTACTTTAATATATTGAGCCCATATGGATTACCTCAGCCTTTGGACAAATTAATCAATAAATTATTCTTCAGGCATAATTCACAATTCTTTTGATCTTGTCAATTATTCCCTTATAGCTTGGTTGTTTTTAAGTGAATGTGTTCAGTATTTACTTCGCTTATCATATGTTCAGCATATTTTTGTCCGACTATAAATACACAGTCAAGCTTCATCTCATGGAGTTGACTCACTACTTGCTTTATCCACTTCGCTTTGTATTCTCATGCCTGTCTTCTAATAGCGGCTACCGCACAAACGTGCTACAACTAAGTACGATATACATAAAGGGAAGAGGGGATTTATTTCATAGCATTTTTAGTTGTTCACATATACTGGAGCCAGATTACTAGCCAATAAAGTAGTGAACTCCATGTTGAGTTCAATACAGCCACTAAATAAGTTCTTCTTCCTGTGCTACGTTTCGGTCCTTATCTCTATCATTTTGATCTTTTTTAGCAGCTTTAAGACACCTTGAAATAAGCTGCATTCATACCTTTGTATTACAACCAGGATTTGATTGAATTTATTTTTTAAATACAGTCCTGATAGTTAGTGTTTTGAGCACTTCAATTTTGGTTGTGTTTATAAAAATACTTATTTCAATAGATCAACGAACCATTATCCTCCATATGCTAATCATTCATCTTTTAACTACTTAATTAAACATACTTACCTACTTGCTTACGCCTGTTACCCCAAATCGAGCATAAGGTCATCAATCAGTATTCTCCAACTTACTCTGTCCTGGGCTTTCCTATCCAGTTCTACCCGATTGTTGTTCATTATTTTGATGTCTGATTCCAATTCTCAGAGTAATTTGTTCTTTGATCTTCCTCTTTTCCTTTGAGCTTGAGGATTCTAAGCGAGGGTTTGCGTTGTGACGCAGTTGGGTGCTTCCTACAATATGTGTCCTATCCACTTCCAGCGCTTTTTTATGATTTCTTTTTCTGCTGAAAGCTGGTTTATTCTCTGTAAAAGTAGGTTTTTGCTCATGTTGTTTGACTAGAGGATATTCTACCTAATTAAAACGTTAAACTAAATTAGGTATTCAACGAATGATGTATGTATCAGACGTTTACTGAGGAAAATATACTAATATCAGCGAAGAAGATTACTTGAGGACAGATTGATCGTTTAATGCGACTATGAATTGCCTGCAATGCTCACTGTATATTACTTACTTACTTACGCCTGTTACCCCCAAATGAAGCATAGGCCGCCCAACAGTTTTCTCCAACCAACTCTGTCCTGGGATTCCCTTTCCAGTTCTGTCCAATGTTTGTTCATTATTCTCATATCTTTCTCTATTTCCCGGCGTAATTAATGTGTTCCTTGGCCTTCCTCTTTTCCTTTTACATTGAGGGTTCCATGTGAGGGCTTGTCTTGTGACACAGTTAGGTGCTTTTCGTAATGTGTGTCCTATCCACTTCCACCACTTCTTCCTGATTTCCTCCTCCATTGGAATCTGGTTTGTTCTCTCCCACAGTTCGTTGTTGCTGATGGTGTCTGGCCAAGGAATCCGAAGTATTTTGCGTAGACAACTGTTAATAAACACCTGTATCTTGTGGATGATGGCTTTGGTAGTTCTCCAAGTTTCCACTCTATACAGTAGAACTGTCTTCACATTTGTATTGTGAATCCCGGTTTTGGTTTTGGTTGACAGTTGTTTAGAGTTCCAGATATTTTTCAACTGCAGAAATGCACCCCTTGCTTCACTTTATATATATATCTTATGTCATCTTTTACGCTGATAGGCGATACTAGTTAGAGATGTTTATACTTAAAACAGAGAAATTAAATTGACGGAATTGATCGCTAACAGTTTATGTTATATATATACATGTTTATTACACTGATATGTAGGTATTTTATCAACCATGATTCCAGCTGACAGAATGAGTTAACAAACAAAATCTTCAATGTAAGGAATGTACCATATGCATTTCAAGATAAATGTACAACCCAAAAAATCATACTTAGTCGAACTCCGTTCGTACGAACGCAGTAGCAAGAAGTCGAGTACGGGGATTCAGTTGAATGAGTTTATTTCCGTGCAATCGTTCATACAGACAAACATGACAACATCATACGGAGGAGAAGCTGAAGTAAAGCGGAGAAATCGAGTGGGCCAACTCTATGAGATGAAGATTGACTAAGAAGTATTTATAGTCAGACAGAAATAAGCTAAACATGCTGTAGTGAAGGAGAACACAGGTGGGGCAACCGAATTGTATTTAACGAAAATTACAGAGTTACTCAGTAAAATAGGAAAACCATATCGTAAATCGTTAATTTGCAAAATATCAGTTCATCATATCGAACTGGACTGTTCCTGTTGCAAAACATCAATCCATTGTCACTCACTATTCATGCGTTTCATACAAATTCCATTGTGTTCTAACTCTTCCTTTCTTGATCTTCCCCCACCTTCTGCTGCCAGACATTACGTTGACACTTACGTCATATACTACTTATAATTAGCTCGCACCACAATGCAATAAGCAAATTATGTAGTGTACACACATATACTTGAATAAAAACAGCCAAGGTTATGAGCGAATAATTGACAAAGTCGATAGACGACAATTATGGATTAATTAATTTGTCCAAAAGCTGAGACCAAGCCCTATGGGCTCAACATATTGAAGTATACAACTCACTACAAACTCTTACTAATGCTTACTGCTGTAATATTTAGTAACAGAGTCATTCAAACTAATTTGTCCAATGTCTTTGTTGTAACGCCTGCTTAGATAATTCCCGGCTAAATCCTATTGCTTAGTATTCGCTGACCACAATACACTGGACAGTTTCCCAAGAATCAAAACACTGTTGAACAGGAAAAGATTATATTCCAAATAGCAAGGTTGAATGGAATAAGAAGCCGAAGGCAAAAATAGATACAACGTTAGTTTATTTATAGCATTTACATGAGAAGCTTCTGGATAGAAATTCACGTGATCGACTGAATTAGATTTAGCCAATCAGCACGCAGCTAACAATACGAGAATTTTCCACTGATTGGATAGGAAATTAGCCAATCAGCGCGTAGCAACGTAGTCACGCTTTAATTCCATGTATATCCTACTAACAGTCTTGTACAAGTAATCTAATGATGAGAATGCTGATTTCTATATTGTTATTTGATGTGTGTGTGTTTTTTTTCTTTTTCTAGAGTCCAAATTTTGTAACAACATTAGAATTAGCTGTTCGATTTGGAAAATGTTTAATTATCCAAGAAGTGGATGAAATTGAACCGATTCTAATGCCATTATTACTGAAAGATTTAATTTTACAAGGTTAGTTAGTTAATCAATGTTGATAAAAACAGCTTTGCTTTGTTTTGTCTTGTTTTTTTTACTGATCAGTCTCTTCATTGAATGCCCGATATCAATGTCTTAGGCGTTTCTGATTACCTTAAACTCTAAGTCTACGTATTGACTTGAACAACATAAGCTAAAGGTATGAAGTGGAACTGAGTGTGTAGCTGATAATAATCACTCAATAACTTTATGTGTTACTTGTTTACTAATTTTATCAATCAGTCAGTTACAACATGGAACTTCGTACTAACGTACATCAGTTCAAGTTATCATACTACATTAGCACAAAGTTATCGAATTGTCAATTCAAATCTCATAGTAGTAGAGATAATAGAAATATTAGCAGTAAGATTAAGAATTGAAGATATGACTCTAGAAGTATGATAATCCAGTGAAATTGTTAGGATATTCATCCAATATCCTAAGAGAATTAGTGGTCAATTCCTATTGGTTAATTCCTAGTGGTCAATTTTATTGTCGTCCTAGATATCAATGTCCCGTTCTACAATGTTGTTTCTTATTGGTTGTCCTGACTATCAATGCCACTTCAAATGTTGCTTCCTATTGGTGGTTGTCTTAACTGTCAATGTCACACACTTCGATGCTGTTTCCTATTCGACCAAAATGTATAAATACGCATTATTTGTAACGTTTTATGACCACGACCAGGACCAGGGCTCGGTCCCGGATCCCTAATCCGGGATCCTGATTCTCTTTTGGATTCGGACCTCGTACTTTCTGGATGCTTGTAGAAACAAGGTCTATTTCACATTCAAGTCTTCTTATTTTTACTCAATATGGGGGTTGTGATAATCGGATTTGAGTAGCATGTCGTGTCGCCGGATCCTCGCTCTCATTTTCCGTCTAGTTAAACTCGTAATAGTTCAAGTATATCAAGTTGACGTGTTTACGTGCAGGCGTAACAGAAATAAATTTTAAATGTGAAAAAGTTCATGAGGAATTCAGAAGATTAGTATTCGGGAGAACCCAAAGAATGGATACATCTCGGTTGTTGCGAACAATTTTGAGCTATTTCGTAAAACGACTCTAAACACCGAAGACCATCGCTTCATTTTAGAACTTTAAGAAAAATTATCTGATCAGCATATTCAAAATCCGTCTTAAAGCTTGTCTATTCTCGACCGCTAGTATCAATAAACATTGTTTCGTGAAATGAATTCATTTCAGCGTTTACTTTCTGTATCTTCCAAGTACACACCGATTTGCATAGTTTGTAGTGCCTCCACGTATATTCAAGTTCGCTTACATTTAATTTAGTTAAGCCCTTTTCATTAATTTATTTAACCAAGCCATTTGCATTGCAACAATAACTTATATGTACCATTGGCTTTTATTATTGTGTGGTTTGTATGAGCTGGGTATGACTGAGCATCGCCTAAACGCCTACGTGCATATGCATCCTATTCGCTTTAATATTGATCTCTTAAATATCACGATGACTCAGACATTTTCCTTTGTATATATACGAACATTTTAATCTTGTTAATACATTCGCACATTCACTCGCTAGCGTGCCTGCCCGATCTGCTTGTGGTGTGCCAAAATAAACGTATTCAACACTTCGAGTTTACCTTCTGATTTATTAACCGTCAGACGCCATTTAGTAACGATTGTCTGAACGAGCTAATTTACGAAGACTGAGAACACGTAGAAATTGATCACTAGAATTTAAATAATTTTACACAAATCACCAGTAATTTCAAACAGAATATATTATTTGGAAATGACACTATCAAACAGACAATCGGGATATACCACTGAGGGCTAGGAAACACCAGACAGCTGTTTCATGACTAGTATGCAACTTCTTGACGGTGACAGTGTTCGCAACTTCATCGCGGATCGAATTCAGCAGTTTCACATCACGTGACAATAACTTAATCTGCATTGCGGGGTTGTGAAGATTGTTAAGTTACACATTTTTTTTGAAACCATGAATCGATCAATGTTAGACCACCGTTAGAAACCTGGAATCACTGGACGGACGTTTCGTCCTAGTATGGTACTCCTCAGCAGTGCGCATCTACGACTCCTGCACCCCGCAGGATTCGAGCCCAGGACCTTCGGCATTGTGCGCGAACGCCCTAACCGTTAGACCACTGAGCCGGTATCTAACGCTGTTAATGTCTGACTTGATCAAATTCACGGAGTTGCGCAACCTCATACACAGTCTTCGGTCATTACTGTATACACCCGAACAGGTTGAACTTCACTGGTCACCAATATTGAAATCAATTTTTAATGAATACTTATTTTGAAATAAAAGTAGTATGATTACTACCAATGAACTTCCTTTCTGTATCTATTTTCTGCTTTCCTGTCTGTTTATACATATCAGGATCACGAAATTTTATTAGAATCGGTGAAAAACTAATAGATTATCATCAAGATTTTCGTTTATTTCTATGTACACGTAAACCATTACGTGGTATGGAAGATTATGTACAACCAATTTGTGCTACTGCACTAGTTAGTATTATTAATTTTATTTCAACACGAACTGGTCTAATAGAACAATTATTAGAAATTACTTTACAAAATGAATGTCCACAATTAGAAAGTCAACGTCAACAATTAATACGTAATGAAGAGAGTATGAAAATGGAATTAACCAAGCTGGAAAATAATTTATTAGAGGTAAACAAATGTTTGTTATACTCCGGTTTTTCTTCTATCTGTCAATGTGTTGTAGCGATTTCTTAAATAACTCCCAGCTAAATCCTATTGCTTAGTTAGTATTCACTGACCACAATACACTAGGCAAGTTCCCAAGAATCAAAAACACGGTTGAACAGGAAAAGATTATATTCCAAACAGCAAGGTTGAATGGAATAAGAAGCCAAAGGTGATGGCGAAGGCAAAGGCCCAAAAATATATACAACGTTAGTTTATTTATAGCATTAACATGAGAAGCTTCTGGATAGAAATTCACATGATCGACTGGATTAGATTTAGCCAATCAGCATGCAGCTAAAACAATACGAGAATTTTCTACCCTGTTCTCCAAGAATCGATCAGGCACTGATTGGATAGGAAATTAGCCAATCAGCGCGTAGCAACGTAGTCATGCTTTAATTCCATCTATGTCCCACTAACACCTCCCCTTTGAGAAGATTCGTAGGATCTGGTGCTAGAGTCCAACTGCTTCCTGGGTGTCTTGCCATCTATGTCCCACTAACACTATGATTATTTTTTTAAAAGGTTCTTAGTGTTTTTACTCAATTGTTGATATTGGAAGACTACATATGATTAGCTTTTTGCTAGGGAGATGAGGTTTTTAAGTGGATGTGTTGGTGTTGGAGTTACATTCAGATAGTTGCTTCGTAACTGGTATGGGGCTCATCAACAAAGCGCATCCACAACTCTCACTGTGATAAAAATCATTAAATGTGCTCACCAGTGACTAGTTTCATGAGGAAATTCTAGGACTTCTTGTGAGAAGATGTGATCAGTGGAGTTTAATCCTATCGAGTGTAAGCAGTTACCTAACGAAGACGATGGGTGAGGTTACACAAAATCCTTAGACTGGTCAAAAGCAAGACATTAACCCCGCTGGATACCGGCTCAGTGGTCTAGAAGTTAAGTGGTCGCGCGCAACCTCGAAAGTTCTGGGCTCGATTCCCGTTCGCACGGTCGTTTGTTTGTAATGCTGATGAGACCCATACTAGAAAGAAATGACCGTCTGATACATCCTGGTTTCTTATAGTGGTCTAACAACGGTCAATGCACGATTTCAATGAAAAAAGACTTTATAATTGAACCAACTAATTCGAATAACTCTGTATCACTAAAACTGGAACCAATTTCATTGCTTAATAAGGAAGTCCTCCATCGATTGTTAATATACTACGATCAGATGATAATGGTTTTTATTGCATTAAATTATAATTGCATAATATGGTCAAGATTTTATCAAAAGGTTTCAAGTATAAGTATTGATGATTAATCAATGAAATGGTGTTCCTTCAATGTGATTAAAGCTTCCAAGTATTGACTGGAAAGAGGTTACATCATCTAGCGAATTAATCAAAAAAAGTCAATATCCTATGTCATGTTATAGTATTAAAAGCAATAGGAGGTAATCATCCATTGAACAGGAATTAAAGACCACTGTCTACTCTGTAAAGGAAGAGATGACTAATGCACTAATTAGCACTAACAATTTGTAAGATTCCAAAGCAACGCTGAGACCAAGGAGAATAAGGGATGGAACATGAATTTTCTGTCTACAGCTTTAGGGTTTGAAATGGTGAGTTGCTAAAACCTTAACTTTGCACAAATTCCTGATCCAAACCTTTTTTGATCCAGTTCTAATCACTTCACAGGAGATTTAATAAGACAGTTCACTTTGGTTGTTGTGACTACTACTACATGTTCAAGGATTGAGTTGCTGATTGATTTGCATTCTCCTATAGATAACCATGCAGGATAGCACTCGGATATTCGTTTATCAAGTGAACGCTTTTTCAAATCAAAATAACTTACTCCACAAGAGCAGGCAAACTGATGAGTCCCATACCAGGACGAAACGGTCGTCCAGTGCTTCCAGGTTTCTAATGGTGGTCTAACAATGATTGATTGATGATTTCAAATGAATAAAAACACAAACCTCCAAAACTCTGCCCCAAAATATCGTAACAGTGCTCACTAGTGACTAGCTTCGTGAGGACATTCTCAGAGTTCTAGTTGAGCAGATGTGACCAAATGGAGTTCAACCCTGTCGCGTATAGGCAGTAACTACCGAAGACAATTGGGTGAGGTCGCGCAAAATCCCTAGATCAATCAGAGTTAGACATTAATACCGTTGGATGTCGGCCGGCCCAGTGGTCCGATGGTTAGGCGTTCGCGCACACTACCGAAGGTCCCAGGTTCGAATCCTGTGAGGAGCAGGAGTCGTGGATGCGCACTGCTGATGAGTCCCATACCGTCCAGTGCTTCCAGTTTCCTAATGGTGATCTAACAATTACTGATTGATGATTTCAAATGTGTAAAATCACAAACCTCCAAAACTCTGCCCCAAAAAAAACTGATAACTGCATGGTGAGGTGACGCAAACTGACTGTTTCTCCCTGGCACTTTCCGTGAATGAGTTTCTCGATGGAGAAAGTAATCCGTGTATATCTTCTACCGAATAAATCTTTCTCAGGGATAAAGATAGTTTATTCTTTCGGATCTCGACTGCTGTATCTCTCGCTTGTTGAAATCAATATTCAAGAATATAACTTGACATTTTGATTTCTAGATTACTGTTAATTAGCCTTGATGAGAAGCTATTCTCCAAATGAATACTTCTTCAGTATGCCTTCCTATCCAGATTCAAATGAGATTGTTAATCGAGAACCTTTTGATAACCTTGACTACATCATACTCAGAAATCTGAGGCAGGCGCGGAGGATTAAAGTATGGTGCTTTACACTCTTAGTCAATCAAAAACGAAAACATTACATTGATCACTCTATTTGCACACCATCTTTGAGTCGTGACTTCCAACACTCCATCCTTCTTCCATTCCTGCTGTTGCTTCCTTTCCTTCCTGTCGGTACTCCATTTACTTCTTGCTTTTGCTCCATTTGCTTTCCGTTTTCCTCTTCTAACCATGCGACTTCTTCTTTCACGTCCCTTCTTATACTACTTATATCGTTCGTATAAGTAGCACACACCACATAACGACCGCAACACCTCATTTTCATTGTCTTCCACTTGAATAATAAGTTTTGATCATATTTAATGATTTTGTCAAATTCCCATATTTTTGTTCTATCGACTACTACTTACTTACTATACATACAATGAAGCAACCATATCGTAAATCGTTGTTAATTTGCAAAATATCAGTTCATCTCATATCGAACTGGACTGTTCCTGTTGCAAAACATCAATCCATTGTCACTCACCACTATTCATGCGTTTCATACAAATTCCATTGTGTTCTAATCTAACTCTTCCTTTCTTGCTTGATCTTCCCACCCCATCTGCTGCTGCTGCCGCCAGACATTACGTTGACACTCACGTAAAATATACTACTTATAAGTAGCTCACACAACAATATCATGTGTATGTGTATTGCAAAATTACTTCATCATAAACGCTTGTCTGTTTATTTGTTCGTGTTTTTTCTCTGTGTAAAGGAATTAGCCAATGCACATGGTAATATATTAGAGAATAAAAAACTCTTGACATCATTAAATCAAACAAAACAATCCACTTTAATTGTTACAAATTCATTGAAAGAATCTTTACGTTTACAGGCGGAATTAGATAAGGTAAGATGAATTATTTTGTCTGACAATCTTTATTTATCAATATGTGTAAATTTTATTTTGATAATTTTTCCTGTGTTCTATCTATCTAAATTGTTCATATTTGTACTGTGGTTAAATGAATAAAATGTTACACGTATAATTGTAATTTTTTAGTGTGAAACACGCAAAATAAATTCATTTTCGATTTATCTCATGGTTGATGTGTGGTGTGCGCTACTTATAAGTAGTATATGACGAGAGTGTCAACGTAATGTCTGACAGCAGAAGATGGGGGAAGATCAAGAAAGAAAGAGTGGGAACACAATGGAATTTGTATGAAACGCATCAATAGTGAAATGTCAAACAGTGCATTGATGATGGATTGAAGATTTGCAAATTAACATTTTATAATAAGGTTTTCCTATTTTACTGATTAACTCAGTAATTTGCGATAAATACAATTCGGTTGCCCTCAACTGTGTTCTCCTTCACTAAAGATGTACGGTAGTGAAAAGAGAATGAATGTGTTTGGTCATTGAGCATAATAGACAAGTAGGCACCACTGTCTGCTGACGATTAAGCATATGATTTCACTCCTCTTATTGATTTCTTCTGCGGATTAATTGAGTTTGACTGCCTTGTAATTATATAACGCTTACTCTGATTCTCTGTATTGGTCGTGAACTGTATATCTGGTTTAACATGAACTTATTTCTGTGTGTAGTGTCCCGTTCGAGTATTTGATTCAATGTCAGTATAAACTCAATCACCTATTAGTCGATGTGTATATATAATACAAGGATATGTAATATATCCGAACACTTCCATTATATCAATCACTAGTGTAATGAAATAATTATACTTACATTCTATATTCATACAAGTTCAATAATATAGATGAATCGAGTAGACCACCGAGAGAGAGAGTGTGTGAGATCATGACGTAATCGGATTTAAGAAACGTGCAAATTATTGTGGTTATGGTAAGTAAATGTGCAGTGAACGAGAACACAGGTGGGGCAACCGGATTGTATTACACGGAAAATTACACAGTTACTCAGTAAAATCGGAACACCAAATCGTAAATCGTTAATTTGCAAAATATCAGTTCATCATATCGAACTGGACTGTTCCTATTGCAAAACATCAATCCATTGTCACTATTCATGTGTTTCATACAAATTGCATACAAATTCTAACTCTTCCTTTCTTGATCTTCCCCCATCTGCTGCTGCTGCCAGACATTACGTTGACGCTCACGTCATATACTACTTATAAGTAGCTCGCACCGCAATAGGAATGGGACTTGATAAAATCAAAATATTCGAATATTTCAATGGATAAACAGTCGAACCATGTTAAACGAATAATAAGATGTTGAAACAGGAATAAAATGAAAACTGAACAGAATTGATCAATGATTATGTTATTGTTAATGCAGATTTATCCAACTAACGAGAGTCCCATGTAGAATGATTCCACCACTAACCATTTCTGCTAATAATACTTGTAATCTAATACGGTTTTCCCCCTCAAAATGCAAAATGTTGCTTCAAGACTGGGTTGCATCGGCACCTGAACTAGTGATAGGGAGTGAAGTAGTCGAGCGTGTAGGCCGCTTCACTTATCTGAGGAGTCTCATCAGCGCTGATAGCCTGGTGACTGGCGAAATCTCAGCTCGGATACAGAAAGTTCGATTCGCTTTTACGCCGTTTATGGCATAGGCGAGATATACGTTCGCTAACCAAAGGACGGGTGTACTGTGCAGCAGTTCGCTCCGTTCTCCTATATGGCTGTGAAACATGGCCGTTAAGAGTAGAAGATAGTCGTAGGTTACTAGTATTCGATCATAGATGTTTAAGAAGCATTGCTCGTATATCGTGGGACAACCGAGTAAGCGATGCCGTCGTTATGAAAGGAGTACTAGGTAAGGATGGCAGATTAATAGATGAAGTATTGAAACTTCATCAGTTGAGGTGGTTGGGACATGTGTTACGTATGGCTAACCACCGACTGCCTCGATGAGTTATGTTTTGTGGTGTAGGAGTAGGTTGGAAGAAAGTTAGGGGCGGCCAAACCAAAACATGGCAGAAATCCATGAAGTCACTTACAAGTGGACTGAGTTATGTTGGTAGATGTAAACTACCTGGTTGGGGTCCACGAGACGAAAGTCACCGATGGTTAGAGACCTTGAATGACATGGCTCAAAATCGTTTGCAATGGCGCAAGTGCATCCACTCGCTGTTTTCTCTCAAATCCTAATCTTCTGAATTCGTCAGCACCTCTACCTTTGTCTTTCTAACCTAATCTCACTGATTTATTATACTTCTTGAATAATAATATCTTCATACTCTAGTCTTCTTCATTACCATTAATACCTCTACTATCTCTATCATTATGGGATTTGATTTGACATTTGCGTCTCTGTGTTAATGTGGTATGGCAAACTGAACTTATTTACATACGTACGAAGTTCTACGTTGCAACTGACTGACTGTAATCTAATGGCAACATGGAGTTAATCTTCACAGGATACATATCTACCAAAAATAGACTGATCAGCTGCAGTCCTAAACATCTATGGGAAAGATTCAAGCAACCAATACAAATGAATTATTCCTCACTTTACTGTAAAAGCAAGTGGTCACCTGTAATTGGTAGCTAAATAGATACCTCGATGGTGTTTGAAGCGAACAGCGCTGGACCCGAGTATCCTAGTGAACACTGAATAAATCCTGTTAGCTTGTCCCAAAAACGACAAAACTTGCTCCCTGGATTCCATCACTAGCCAAAATCCATCTTTGTTAAAAACATACCAGTCCAACACTATTTTCAGCTTTCAACCTGAGGACATAAGAATATCATGCTTGAAGCAAACTTCACTTGTTTGATATTTACTATCATGTGAGATGAGTGTGCAATACTGAGAAATCTTAAACTCAAACTAAAAAAATACATCTTGCATTTAAATTTTTTCACCAACCAATGAAAAATCATTTAGTTCACAACAAACAAACAAACATTTAAACTGCAATTAAACAGTTAATTCTTAGATGCAACGATGTGATGTCCAATTGTGATTCAGTAATAAATACTGCAGACCATGGAACAGTGTCGCTATAAGGTCACCATTGAAACCTTTTCTGACTGAGTTGTTTCTCATAAAACTAGAAAATGGATCATTGCTCGTATATCGTGGGACAGCCGAGTGAGCGACGCTGTTATTAGGAATCGGGTGCTAGGTAAGAATGGCAGATCAATAGATGAAGTAATGAAACTTCATCAGTTGAGGTGGTTGGGACATGTGTTGCGTATGCCCAACGACCGACTGCCTCGTCGAACTTTGTTTTGTAGTGTAGGAATATGTTGGAAGAAAGTTAGGGGCGGCCAAACCAAAACATGGCAGAAATCCATGAAGTCATTGACGAGTGGACTTAGCCATGTCGGTAATTGTCGACTACCTGGTTGGGGTCCGCGAGATCATAATAATCGATGGTTAGAGACCTTGAATGACATGGCTCAAAATCGTTTGCAATGGCGCCGGTGCATTTATTCTTTGTGTTCTCTCAAATCCTAATCTTCTGTATTCTTCAACCCCTCTACTTTTGACTTTCTAAACTTTTCTCACTGAATCATACTTCTTGAATAGTATCTTCTAATCCTAACCTCTCCGATTACTTCTAATACCCTTACTAACTCTTCTTCTATTGGATTTGAATTGACAATGGTGTCTCTGTGCTGATGTGGTATGGCGACATGAACTTATGTACTTACGTACAAAGTTCTACGTTGCATCTGACTGACTGACTGACTGAGAAAATGGATCTCTGTAAGAAACAATCAGTTTATTTGACATTTTACTGTCGTTAATACAAATGATACTTTCATGGTATTAGAAAACAAACTTGAAAAGGACAATTTACTTGAATTTAGATCCTTTCTACATGTTCCACTAACGAGAAGAGTAGATGGAACTCTAACAAAAACCGAGATACATTCATATCTACAGTTCAATGTTAGGCAATATTACTATTATTACGTATTGATCGCTGTGATATAATAAAATAATTACGTAACGTAACTAACTACTCGATGAGTATCGAATCATTGTTATAAATCATACATATTAATCTAGAGCCACGATAAAAGAAATCTAATTGAAAAACAAATTTCTTCACTCCATTTATTCTGGTTCAGTCATCACTAAGACTTAATGTCATGTTTTAGTTCTCTGAGTTGGATAGAGTGAAAATCCATGTAAGAAGGTTATGTAAAATAGTTCATTTGTAGATAACAATTATAAACATTATGAGGTTGTGAAGATTGTTAAGTTACACATTTCTCAAAACCATGAATCGATCAATGTTAGACATTAACACCGTTAGATGCCGGCCCAGTGGTCCAATGATTAGGCGTTCGCGCACAATACCGAAGGTCTTGGGTTCGGATCGAGCGAGAGGTGCAAGAGTCGTGGATGCGCACTGCTGAGGAGTCCCGTACCAGGACGAAACCGCCGTCCAGTGCTTCCAGGTTTCTAATGGTGGTCTAACATTGATCGATTCATGGTTTCAAAAAATGCGTAACGATAATAAAATCACCAATCAATCATTGTTAGACTACCAGCATTAGAAACCTGAAAACGCTAGACTGCCGTTTCGTTCTGGTATGAGAGATTGGACATTAACACCGTTGGGTGCCGCTGGCCTAATGGTTCAGAGGTTAGGCGTTCGCGCACAAAATCTAAAGGTCTTGGGTTCGGATCAAGCGAGAGGTGCAGGATTCGTGGATGCGCACTACCACTGATGAGTCCCATACTAGGACGAAACGGCCGTCCAGTGCTCCCACGATTCTAATGCTGGTCTAACAATGATTGATTGATTGATTTCAAATGTGTAGAAACACTAATCTCCATAACTCTAGTTTCAAAAAATACTCATAAAACTATGCAAATCACTTACAATACTCTATTTTCATTTTTCGTTACAATTTTACTTACATAATAGGAAAGAAATATATTTTATCCATTAGCTGAAACTAGCAGTCAACTATATTTCTCTTTAATGGATCTGATCAAAATTAATCATATGTATCAATTCGGTTTGAATCGATTTCTATATCTTTATCAACGTGCTTTATCTATGCCACATGTAAGTAGTAGTAGTAGTTAATTTGAAATTATTATTTATTAATGTTACATTTTAATGATCATTTTTTTTCATTTGAGAATGATGATTATTCAAGAGGTGGAATTCACTAGTGTGAATGAGAGTGAACGAGAATACAGGTGGGGCAATCGGATTGAGTTGTATTTAATGAAAATTACAGAGTTAGTTACTCAGTAAAATCGGAAAACCATATCGTAAATCGTTGTTAATTTGCAAAATATCAGTTCATCATCGCGAACTGGACTGTTCCTGTTGCAAAATATCAATCCATTGTCATTCACTATTCATGCGTTTCATACAAATTCCATTGTGTTCTAACTGTTCCTTTCTTGCTTGATCTTCCCCCATCTGCTGCTGCTGCCAGACATTATGTTGACACTCACGTCATATACTACTTATAAGTAGCTTACACCACAGTGTTAGGAGTGAGGCAAGTTTTATAACCAATAGTATGGAAAAATTGTTGTGTAACATTGAGAATTGACTAAAGTTATAAACTTGATACTTTGAATGTCATCTTGTTAGTTGTTCAAAAAATAAGATGCTCGATAGAAGACCCAAATGTTGTGGATTAAACTAATTGTTCAATAGTCAGCAAACATTATTTAGGAATATATCATTACAGAACAGTGTCCCATGGTTGACGGTGACTACTTAATTAAAGTTAGTTCATGGTTAAAAAGTAATATTACCCTTGACTCAGGTTTCATATAAATATTTCGTGAAAAAATCATTACCTGATATGAGACAAAGGGTAGTGAGTGTGTTTGAGACCGTTTGCATCAAGCTGGGCTACATCTCTAGCTATCCTATGCCATACCACATGTGTGTATACCACATGCTATACTGCTATACAGAACTAAAGGTTTCCTATGAAACCAGAGGTTTGTAATGAACATTGTGGATGTCTTGGTATTGCTTTGACAAGTATTGCTAATAGCCCATATAGAAATTTGGTTAGCAGGGTGACCGATTTCATTGATATAGGTGGTTGTTTTGCGACATTTCCGAGGGCCATTGTCATTGTGGTGCTGTATTGCATATCATCAATGCTAATAATCATGACTTCGACAGTCATGTTAGCTGGATGAGTCGAATCGGCCTGTTCATACTGTGCATATTGACTGACGCGATCGTGGATCGGAAATAATCATTATAAATGTACTAGTATATATGTAAATGGTGTGAATGGTCCACCAGGATATCAGGTAACTGTGTGGTTGCAGCACGGGATTGAGCCGAAATGTTCATGTCGAAATGGTAACACGTAAGCAATCTCCTTGGTTCTCCTGAAAACCCAATGTAAAATTACCCTTTCCAATTAAGCGTGAATTTATATTATTGTGATAATAAATTCCTTGATTAAAACAATCTCCAAGGTAGTTATCAGTTGCTTTGAAAAAGGACAAATCATCTAATTGACACTGTATTTTCCAGAATAACACATGAAGTGTAACTAATTCATTTGCTAGATGACTAGTAATTTAATACACTCAGCTTCTTAACGCATAAATGAATTGACATGAACTGAATCATCTGCCAGAGTTTTAAAACTTGATATACTTGAACTATTACGAGTTTACCCCTTAGTCGGAAAACGAGAGCGAGGATCGAGGATCCGGTGACACGACATACTACTCAAATCCGATTATCCCAACCCCCATATTTAGTTAAAAATAAGAAGACGTGATATGAAGTAGAACATGTATTCTACAAGCATCCAGAAAGTACGAGGTCCGAATCCAGAAGAGAATCAGGATCCCGGACTAGGGATACGGTACCGAGCCCTGGTCCTGGTCGTGGTCAATAAACGTTACAAATAATGCATATTTATAGATTTTGGTCGAATAGGAAACAGCATCGAATTCTGTGGCATTGACAGTTAAGACGACCAATAGGAAACAACATTTGAAGTAACAATGATAGTCAGGACAACCAATAAGAAACAACATTGAAGTATCGGACTTTGACAGTTATAACGACCATAATTTTGACCAATACAAATTGACCAATAATTCTCTTGGTATATATTGGATGAATATCCTAACAGTATAATTACACTGAACATAGTTTTCATCCTTGACTGATTTCAAGTGAAAAAATCATTAACAATCAAGAAGCAATTTGCAATTGTTTCATTCTAATTTGGTTAATTGGCTGCGGTAGAAAACGTGAATTATTGAATTTTGATTGAACTGTATAATTATACTTATTATCGTTAGCGTTACATTTGATGATTCTAGCTAGGTTTATAAATGTGCATTTTTGATTAGGTTTTAAGGAGAATGAAAATGAAGTAATGCTTGCTAACTTTGATGGTTATCACGAAACTTTATAACTTCATAACTCTATAATGATAAATCATAAAATTTGCTCACTAGTAGTGACTAGCTTCGTGAGTAAATTCTCATACTTCTAGTAAGAAAACGTGACCAGTGGAGTTCAGTCGTGTCTGGTTTAGACAGTAACTACCGAAAACAATGTGTGTGAGGTTGCGCATTGTCCTTAGATTGGTCAGAGTTAGATATTAACAGCTTTGGATGCCAACTCAGTGACTCAGAGATTATGAGATCTCACACTAGACCGAAGGTCCTTGGTTCAAATCCTATGAGTCGTTGGAGTCGTAGACACACATTGTTGATGAGTACCATATCAGGAAGAAACGGCTATCCAGTGCTTCTAGGTCCCTTCCTAATAGTCCTCTAACAATGATTGTTCATAATTTCAATAATAAACAACAATCTCTACAACTTTACCATGAAAAGTTAAATGTTATTGTTCATTTAAGTAGTATTTTATTGTAACAAATGTCAAGGTTAAAAATTAATGAAAAGTGACTCTGGATTGCTATAAACTACTAATAATTCCAGTAAAACAATCGACTATAAATATGAGTGTACAGTTTAAGTGTATAATATCATCGAAATACAATCCTCTTCATTATTGAATTGGCTTGATTTGTCTTCATTGACATAATGGATGTCCCTTCATATTGGTTGAACTTGTTGATGAGAATGTCAAAAGAAGGGAGTTAGTGCATTGAATAGACTTGTATGAACGAACCTGTTACCCAGTTAATACATTCGGTACTGTCTTGTACTTTTGTTGTAACGCTGCTACTTGTATAGCTATTCAGTCCTAGCGGCGTCCAATTCAAATATCCCAATACGACCCAAATGCTATTTCCAAATCTCCTAGATATCAGAACGCAACACCGTCGGATGGAGTTGTTTATTGGGTCGAATACAGAAGAGAGGTAGGCAGGGGAAACGGAATTATTAAGTCTTTCAGATAGTGCGTATTTATACATTAAGGTCGAATACGAAAGAGCATCAACGTCTGTGACATTGACAGTTTAGGACGACCAATAGAAAAGAACATTTGAATGACATTGACAGTCCAGATGACCAATAAGAGACAACATTGAAGTATTTGACCTTGACAGTTAGAGCGATCACAATTTCGGCCAATAGAAATCGACCAATAGGATCGTACTTCTAAAAATAGTATTCTTAGGATATTTGGTGAATATCCTAACAACTTTAAACTTGCCAAGGATCATTCCAGGTATGTATTATAGTCATGCCTCATCGCATTGAGTAGACTCTCCCGACATCTGTACTTCGCTTTTACGCTTTGTATTCTTATGTCTGTCAGCGTGAACGGCTGTATAGAGTAAACTCATCCAACTAAATTCATAATTGGCTTCTGTATTACCGCCGTCTCACAAATGCGGTTCGCCTAACTATGAAATATATACAAATTGAAGGGACCATTCATCTAAATTGGGGTTAGATGTTGATTTCTTTGAGCTAAATGATTTGATGGAATATCTTTCTGCTGTCCCTATTTAGGACTGGTTTTCTTTATATAGTTCTGTTACGCTCGTCACTAAGTATGCTTGAGGCTATTACGAGTTTACCTCAGTCGATAAACGCGAACGAGACAATGAACCAGCGTCCAGGTAGGCTACCTGGAATCCCAAACTGTAAAACAGAAGTCTTGGTAAGCGTAGAAAGTATATTCTACAGACTCCCAACAATCACAGTACAATCAAGCATACAACTCTCGTTTATTTATACATCATAGAAACGTCCTTGAGACAGTTAAGAAAATAGCACACTAAAATATACAGCAGCCAATCACAGTCATGGATTTTTCCTGGTGGGAATTGAAATCTCAAGGTCAACTGATCAGTCCATGCTCGCAAACGTAAAAACGAAAATAAGGCACCCATCAAGCGAATTTTGGGGATCTAACATCCCCAACAAGTTCATTACCTTAATATCAAAACATTCCGACTTATGACAAGTGGAATCATAACTACAATGTTCATTTTCGTAATAAAGTACACACTAGTACTACTACCCAGAAAGATAATGAAAGCTCCTAAATTAAATAAGTTAGCTCATAGACATTAACTAAACTTATTGTAAACTATCCATCTAATCTGCATACACTCTTTTTATGTACATTTTCTGTTTTTTTCTTTTTACTGTCTTTAAACAAACAGCCAACTGAATTACAGACATCGGAACGTATTAAATCATTGCAAAAATACATTGAACAATTAGTTTATGAAAATGTTTGTCGTGCATTATTTAAACCGGATCGTTTAATGTTTGCGCTACACATGGTTCATACAATGCGTCCACAATCATTGACAAATGAAGTAGGATGGATAATAATTAAATTTGTTTTGTGATTTTTGAATTTCTTCAATTAAAATAATGAGTTTTTCTCTCAGTATGTGTAAGCGATTACGATTATTTGTTATTCTACTTTTGCTGCTGTTTATCAGCGCTGTATATAACTCTAAAACATACTGGTGAGAAGACTGAGGCAGGCGAGGAAGATTGTATTATGCAAATTTACACTCTGAGTCAATTAAAAACGGAAACATTACATTGAACACACTCTATTTGTGCACCATCTTTGAGTCATGACTTCCAACACTCCATCCTTCTTCCATTTCTGTTGTTGCTTCCTTTCCTTCCTGTTGGTACTCCATTCACTTCTTGCTTTTGCTCCATTTGCTTTCCGTTTTCCTCTTCTGACCGTGAGACTTCTTCTTTCACATCCCTTCTTATACTACTTATATCGTTCGTATAAGTAGCACACACCACACTAGTATTATTTATGGAGACAATTATCTGTTACTTTTTGCTTACTTACGCCTGTTATCTCTAATGAAGCATAGGCCACCGACCAGCATTCTCAAACCTACTCTGTCCTTTCCTTGGCCTTCTATTCCAGTTTTACCCAATCGCTATTCATTTTTTTGATGTCTGATTCGAACTCTCAGCTTCATGTGTCTTCCTCCTTTCCTTTCGCCCTGAGGGTTCCAAGTGGGAGCTTGTCTTGTGACGACGCAGTTGGGTGCTTTCAGCAGTGGGTGTCCTATCCACCCACTTCCAGTGCTTTTTTCCTAATTTCCCACTCAGCTGGAATCTGGTTTGTTCTCTCTGTCACAGTAAGTCGTTGTTGATGGGGAAGTATCTGTTACCCCTGTTCGGTGGAATAAATTCAAAGAAAGATTGTTTTTGTTAATTTTGACTCAAACAAATGCCGGAAATTCACTTATACAGATATCAGTTTTTTGAATAATTATCTAACAGATTTCATATATGTTCGCACAGTTCTGTTTTATTTATTTGAATTGGGCAAAAAAAGGAGTCTGGACCACCAAGTTGATTGATAAATGGATGGAAGAGGAGTATGTCATCTAATTAATATTAAAGCATACAATTCAACTTATTAAAATAATTTTTAAAGGGTTCATTTAACTAAGAAGATTCAACTTATCAGTATTGTAGTGAACGAGAACACAGGTGGGGCAACCGAATTGTGTTTAACGAAAATTACAGAGTTACTCAGTAAAATCGGAAAACCATATCGTAAATCGTTCATTTGCAAAAGATCAGTCCATCATGTCGAACTGGACTGTTCCTGTTACAAAACATCAATCCATTGTCACTCACTATTCATGCGTTTCATACAAATTCCATTGTGTTTTTGCACTCTTCCTTTCCTGCTTGATCTTCCCCCCATCTTCTGCTGCAACCAGAGATTACGTTGACACTCACGTCATATACTACTTATAAGTAGCTCACACCACAGTATGAAACATCCTAATAGAACACTGTAACAGGATTGAATTCTGAACCATATGTGATAATGTATCGCAAGATATTGGACAGAGAGAATCTGTAAAGACTCACTCAAAGATACACCAGCCTTACATAACTATTTTTAATATTACAGCAACATAACCACGAATAATATTATATTGGTCTTTCAAAAGTACTTTTCTTTTTAGTAAATTTTACTTTTCATAGCACACCTGGACTAGGAAATACACCCTATTGGTGGTATTCGAATTTTTTAACGCTATTGAAACTGTAATTTTAATCATCGACCAACTGTTGTTAAACAATCACACAAATCTAGGAAACAATAGCTATTTACTCTCTATTGTAACGCTTGCTTAGATAATTTCCGGCTAAATCCTATTGCTTAGTATTCTCTGACACAAACACTGGACAGGTTCCCAAGAATCAAACACGGTTGAACAGGAAAAGATTATATTCCAAAATAGCAAAGAATAAGAAGCCAAAGGTGATGGCGAAGGCGAAGGCGAAAATAGATACAACGTTAGTTTATTTATAGCATTTACATGAGAGAGCTTCTGGAAGAAAATTCACGTGATTGACTGGATTAGATTTAACCAATCAGCACGCAGCTAACCATACGAGAATTTTCTACCGTGTTCTCCAAGAATCGATCAGGCACTGATTGGATAGGAAATTAGCCAATCAGCGCGTAGCAACGTAGTCATGCTTTAATTCCATGTCCCACTAACACTCTCTATTAGTTTAAGATTTATCTAGAATAAGAATGCACGGCTGTGCCATGGATAGTAGAGCCCAGGAGTCGCAAATGGTGTGTGTAACTAGTAGTTAGTCTCTGAATCACTGAGTTAGCAGCATCCAGGAGCTCACATTTCTAACTTTATTTTTTGATTGACCATGTCTTGCAAAAATCATTTATCAACATCGGCGTTACATATTTTATTTATACCTGACATAATTAGACTACAGAATTTAAAATGAGATATTATATAACGAAACAGCTCTTCAGAGTGCTATTCGGTTTCAATTATAGTCGATTATAATCCAGCTAAACTCAGTCTGCGATACAATTTAAACAGTAAACGATGTTTTAAAAACCTACTCTACTTAGTTTATTTATGTTAGGTAATTGTGGTGGTGTTTCGTTCTCTGAGCTGGTTGTTTTGGTTGTGGAGCTTTCATTGTTCTTGTGAACAACATCATCAGCACAGTTCTGCTAACCTCGATCTTGATTGGTTGCTGTTGACGTTTGACCTGTCGTTGTTTGCAACTTTGCTTTGATTGCTGCCCCCTTTCGATCTGTTTCTTGATCCTGTGTCACCTATGATTTTCCTGATTGGTTGATAAATGGGGTCAATGTCGATGTGTTTGTTGATTGCTGATTGACCTGAGTGCCAAGCTTTTAAAAATTCTCTTGTGTTCTTTGTTCTCCCCCTACCAGTATTTCCACATTGTTCAAATCAAATGTGTGTCCATAATTGTCGGTGTGTATTGATATAAGCGAAGCGTTGTCGTGGCGTTTGACTGCTAATTGATGTTCACGTAAACGGAGCTGAAGAGGTCGTCCACTTTGTCCTATGTAGTGTTTTTCACAGTTTGAGCAATTTATTTTGTAGATGATATTTGGTTTTCTTCCTTTGTCATTTTGTCCTTTGGTCTACATAGGATTGACAGAAGTAATTCTGTTGGTTTGTGTGCCACACCTATTTCAAATGGTTTCAGTAGTCGTGCCGTATGCTCCGATATGTCTTTGATGTATGGTAGGATGATGCGTTTATTTGTTCCTGTGCTTGATTTCACTCTGATGATGGTTTTGGTTGATGTTTTTTGATGAAGTTGCGTGGATAGCCGTTCTTTTGGAAGATAGTCATCAGTGTTTTTCCTCGTTTTTTAATGTTTCGTATGTGCTGCAGTGTCTTCGCTCTCTTGAACAGAGTTTGTATGCAGTTAATCTTGTGGGTTCTTGGGTTGTTGCTGACGTAGTTGAGAATTACGTCGTGTGGTTGGCTTCCGAAATACTTGAGTTTCTAGTTTTCCTGTGTTAGTTCTGGTGATTAGTACATCCAGGAATGATAGGCTGTTGTTTGATTCCTTTTCCATCGTGAATTTGATGTCATCAAAGACGTTGTTGATCTGATTGTAGATGTTCTCCAGCTCATTCCTTTTGATAATAACGAATGTGTCGTCTACATAGCGAACCCACATTTTTGGCCTGATCACTGGCAGGATTGAAGCTTCCAGTCACTGCATTACAGCTTCGGCGATGAGTCCTGATATTGGTGATCCCATTGATGTTCGCAGTCTCTGTTGTTGAACTGAAGATACGTTGTTAAGCACAGGTCGATGAAATCAAACGGACTTCGACACTGAAGCTTTGTATATTTGTTTAGATTTGTGTTGTTGATGAGGAGGAGCGAAAGAGTTTCTTTAGCTATCCTTGGCTCTATCAACTCTGTCGAGTGTAAGCAGTAACTACAAAAGACAAATTGGTGAGGTCGCGCAAATCCAGAATTAGACAACAACACCGTTGGATGCTGGCCCAGTGGTCCGATGGTTAGGCGTTCGCGCACAATACCGAAGGTCCCGGGTTTGAATCTTGCGCGATGCAGGAGTCGTGGATGCACACTGCCACTGGTGAGTCCCATAGCAGACCGAAACGGCCGTCTTTCAGTGCTTCTTCCAGGTTCCTAATGGTGGTCTGACAATGAATGATTGATGAATTAAAATGTGTGAAAAAAATTTGATTCGATACAACAAATTGAATAATTGAACAAAGATGTTCAACCGAGTATTGACACACCTGAAACTTTGCTCACCAATCTTAACAAGATGATAATAAACAGAATTGAGAGAAATTTTCCAAAATCGATAAATTATACATATATATGTATTATATAAATATAATTTATTTCAGAAAATTCTCAATAAGTTTATCATTATTTTGGTTTGAGCATAGTTACAGGCGCGTACAAGTTTTCGGTTAATGAAGTAAAAAACGTTGATAAATTTACTTGTAAAATAATTGGAAGACAACTTAATATTGAACTTTATCAGTATAAAACAAAAAACATTGAACATAGTGGTTAGTAGTCGAATTATGGAGGTCGTTGTTTTACCTTGAAATGATGAATGAATCATTGTTAGATCAGTGTTCGAAACCCGTGAGCACTGGACGGACGTTTCGTCACTGTATGGGATTCGTCAGTAGTGCACAGCCGTGACTCCTGCAAGTTGCAGGATTCGAAATTAAGGGCTTTGTTCACGCTCGTGAACGCTTCACACTTTTGGACTACTGAGCTGAAATCCGATGACGGTAATGTCTAACTCCGATCAATCTACAGATTTTGTGCAACCTCACCCATTGTCTTCGGTAGTCACTTGCTTACACCTGAAAAGGTTGATCACACCTTATCAGTAGAACTCCAAGGATTTCCTTACGAATCTAGTCACTAGTGAGCACATTTTTTGATTTTTTCATTATAGAATTTTATAGAGATAGTTGGACATACCTGATGTTCATGAACTTAATAGCCGTCTCTTT